CATTAAGTGTGACCTTTGAAATTAATGCATCCCTCTTGTCATTAAGTGTGACCTTTGAAATTAATGCATCCCTCTTGTCATTAAGTGTGACCTTTGAAATTAATGCATCCCTCTTGTCATTAAGTGTGACCTTTGAAATTAATGCATCCCTCTTGTCATAAAGTGTGACCTTTGAAATTAATGCATCCCTCTTGTCATTATGTGTGACCTTTGAAATTAATGCATCCCTCTTGTCATTAAGTGTGACCTTTGAAATTAATGCATCCCTCTTATCATTAAGTGTGACCTTTGAAATTAATGCATTCCTTTTATCATTAAGTGTGACCTTTGAAATTAATGCATCCCTCTAAGACACACAAGTAAATAGCACGAGTTGGTCCTATTTGATGCTCGTCACATGTATACATATTGTAGTATGCTTGGTGGTTCCGCTTTTTTCCCCAGAAAACGTACATTTGTAGTCTTCTTGTAGTTTTGTAAATCTTTCTTTTCTTCATATTTTGCTCTAGTTTCATCAAATTGGAGTTTGAATCAAGATTCTATAAATATTGTAGTATAGAAAATTCTCCTTTTTGTAAATTTCAGTCAGGATTTGTACGGGGTCACTCCACTGTTAATCAGCTAGCTGAAATTTATCATAATATTTGTTTAGAACTTGAACCTAAAAAAATGTCTGTTTGCGGATGATACGTCAAAATTAAAGGGTACATTGTGATGATTTAAAGCCATACTTAATCAGGATTTTGTATATTTAAGTTACTCGGCTATACATTGGTTCGTCAATTGCAATCCAAGAAAATTATGTTCTCTTCATAACGTATTCAGTTAACTTGTATGGTGATCTGTAATTGAAATTAGATGGTGTGTTTTTAAATTTCAGTGATTGCCATAGGCACTTGGGTGTCATATTCAATGATAAAGGCAAAAAAGGTGACCACATTGAACATATCTACTTTTTCAGTTATTAAAAAGATCAATGCTTTAAGAAATTTTAGGTATATGCTCAAATGTAAAGCATTGTTTAAAATATATAAGACTTGTATTTTACCAGTGTTAGAATATACTATACTATCACTCCAAACCAAACGAAACTCGTGGTCTACTACACATTTGGTGACAGGGAGTTGGATATGTGATTCACACAGTTACGTCATCGATGAAATTCTTTGAAATATAATTCATCTTATGTAAATCTGGCTGATAACGCAAAATTGGCCTGTGGAAGCCCTTGTGAAAATGTCATTTTTATTTGTCCCAATTAGTAACAGTGGAGACGGTTTGTTTTTCATTAATGTAGTTTTTTTATTTATTTATTTTTTAATTTAGAGTTTCTGGAATACGCTTATGAAATGATATTTAGAAATGTATATATTTTCATTAAATCTAGCAATAGATTTTTAATTACAATGAGTATAATTATTTTTTTCTTTTTTCGGATATCAATGTAACTTTCCAGTTAACATATAATAATAAATTCACGATCCCTCTGTTTGCCGAATGCTGTAATTGTAATTTGTTTTGGTAAATGGTTTAAATAATGTTGTATTAATTTGTGCCCAATCCTGATAATGATGACAATATCATATGTTTGAATCAACCAATCAGTGATCAGTATACTAATATGATATGTTACTTCTTCTTTCCAATGGCCAGTCTCTCCCAGAGTGCACTGCGTACCTGTCAATGTGAAAGCGGTTCTCAGTTTGTTGCACGTAACTATTGTTCGAAACTGTAACTGTGAACCAGTTGAAATTACTGGGAAAACTGGGAAATGTGTTAACGATAAACAGTGATATTTCATAGAGGATCTAAGTTCGACATTATCGGTCCCCATCGGCTGTCAAGCTTGAATTGGCAGAGAGCAGTAACTCTGGGAGATCAGAATGCACTGGCGGAGTAAAACGGAAGGCAGTAACTCTGGGAGATCAGAATGTACTGGCGGAGTGAAACGGAGGGCAGTAACTCTGGGAGATCAGAATGTACTGGCGGAGTGAAACGGAGGGCAGTAACTCTGGGAGATCAGAATGTACTGGCAGAGTGAAACAATGATATAAGAGGATTAATTTCATCGTTTATTTGTGTGAGGTAATGATGATGTAACATTTAACATTGAAAAAAATGTCCTGTTATATCAATAATGATAATAATAATAATAAAACACGCACACGTGAAAAAACAGACTGTTCACAATTTCTTATGAAAAGTTGCAAACGAAGCTAAAAGCTGCCGTGTATAATGAACTTCTCACTACTTCTGATGAGTGAAATATACAAAAAATGGAATCCTTGGAAAGTAACTCCCGATTTCATGCAAAAGTACAATGAAACGGAATACAAACGAAATGATCACGTGATCACGAGTCCGGTACAGGTCCTAAGAAATTCGGATTTTCGGAGTTACTCTCTAATTAGCGATTTTGACTACACAATGTCTGATAGATAGATTAAAGATTCATGATCAGAGCAGTGACACACAGTAAATGTCATACGTCCTTTATTCGTTCTAATACACTATGTAACCAAACCTGTTAGAGTTATGTCCCTTCCCTCACATTCACATAATACATGATGAAGTTACAAGAAGTCTCTCTTGTAGCATAATTAAGTTTAACTGTTTGATGCCTTTCTGTCATAAAACTTGCTTGCTGAACATATGGAATACTAGTTTATTGTGTTTTTATAGTTGTTTGAGTTCTTTTTTTTTCTTTTTTTTAATGTTCGTTTTACAACTAAATCAACATGATATAATGTTCTGCAATATAAATATTAGACATCAACAATCAAAGTAGGATTACATAACTGTTTTAGCCTGTACGAATCTAACAAAACAATAAAGGTGGTCTGGTGACGTAATCATGGTAACGCACTCGTCTTTTACCTAGTCGGCCAAAGTTCTTATTACCTGGACAGGCTTCAAGTTTATTAAAAACGTTTATAATGTGTATCAAATTGCATGTGAAGTGCCAGTACCATATGGAGTTGTGTCCCCTGAAGTGATTTTGCATATCGACCATGTTAAAGGGAGTTATGCCCCTTTTCATAAAGAAATAAACATATTTTTGTGATACTATGCATTCACTCATTTTCTTACAGAATTGCTTTACGTGTAATTTGAAATCCAAGAACCTAACGAGGTTGTGCTCCTTGGACTTCTTTTGCATTTCAACCCTATTTAAATGGAGTTGTACCTCTTTATCAAAAAAAAATCTGTGGCTATGCATTCACTCATCTTCAATGCATTTGTGCCGCATAGTGTTGTGTCCCTAAGATAATTTTGAAAATCAACCATAGAATAACGCCCCATTCTTTGCTCGTTTCAACTGGATTTTTTTCAATGCCGACCTTTTGTGGTTTGTGGCTTCTGTACATTAATGATTAACCAAACCTTCGTCAGATACTGATGTGAACAATATTGCGAAGTGGGCACTCCAGTCTGACTTGAAGGAACCTACTATAATATACATGTATACATATATATCTATATTTGAATAATTTTTTCATTATGATTCATGTAGAGAATTTCTTCTAAACAATTTCTATCTTGACGGAGGTGAAGATGGGGAATGGGGCGGGGTGGTTGGGGTTACTGGTCATGTAATGGGCGTGGCAGTTAAAGGCTTTCTTGGCTAGGCGACTGTGAGTACGAGGCCCGAACAGGGCACGAGTCAAAACATGTCTTCCTTCGTGGTACAATGTCCAAAATATCAATAAATTAAAATAATGTATCATATACAGTCATGTTGACCCGAAGGTTCCAGATTACCTGACGTGATTGTACCCGACAAAACAAAAAATAAAAAGTTAACTGTAACACTACATGTTGCGCTTGATTAAGTAATTCCTTTACAATTCCTTGTCAATTATGTAAGTAAATGATCATCAAGGACAAAACTGGTGTAATAGTTGAAAACAAACGACCTCAGTTGCTTAAGTCGACGTTAAAGGACGTATCATGACTTAAAATCATAAAGGGTCTCTACCATTATGTAAATCTCATCTGGTGTATTACTATTTCTCTTGTGTGTCATAATCATTCTACACCATCCTTTATTTGTTAATCTATATAATCATTATTGTTTTTATTTTGAGGGATAAAAGATATGTACTCGTGAATTCGGGCAGAAAAAAGCGATGGATATAATATGACATAACTTTTTTGTAATCATTGTAGAATAAATCATGTTTATAGTCGCACAACAAAACCATGATAATGGAGGGGCTCTTTTCTGCTGTTATAGTGCTGTTTGGCTCAAACTAATTCTAGTAAGTTACAAACACAAACAATCCCACACAAATACAAATACTTTTATTTTGAAAAATTGCACCAAATTCTGGGGATATAAACTACCCGATTTACAAAACGAAAACAACAAACAAAAGTATTACATGTGATCAATAAAGGTGTAAGAACCAATTAATTTTAATTGGGTCTCTCAATTCACTTTTAATTCTGTTATATGCTGCAGAGAGCGATGGGAATTTAAAGATATAATTTAATTAGATCGATATTTGGACTTTTTTTCTCGGTTCCTAAAGGTCCTACTACACAAATACGTTTTCCTCCGGAAATAAATGTGGTCTTTTTGAAATTAAGTGTTGACACTTTTCAAATACGTCATTTTCATACACCAAACCTAATTATAAGACATCACAATTGATATATACAAATCAAAGCTGAAATATAACAGTGCGATACATGTGGTCACGTGAGCATCAGACGACACAGTTAAACTGTAAACGCATGTACGCTTTTAAATCGTTTATTTCGGATGGAAGGCTTTATGCTGCTAACTTTCACTTTCTCTCGCTCCATTCTCATTGTGTTGACAAGCTATCATTTCTATCTTTCATATCCACGGAGCAGACAAAGAGGATATTTTCCAGAACGTTAGAGGAAATATAATTTCTTATTACATGTATTCTTGTCGCTGTCAGAATATATCGTCTGGAAAATCTATCACAGAGTTAACTTGTACTTCGTCAGCACCAAAAATGTCAGCGTCATGTTTCGTTAAACAAGTTGTACTTAATCTTCCGTTTAGTCGCGCCGTTAAACTTTGTTTCGCCAGGAACATCGACTAATTCCGGAAAAAATCGTCCATGAAGACCGAAAGGGATAGCGATAGGAAGATAAGCAATGTGAGTCGTGGTCATTGTTCTTGCGTCAATAAACGCGAGATAGGATCTTTTCTTGATACCATCTAAAACCGGAACTAAGAGGTATCCATTGTCTTCACCTTTCGATTTGTATGACGGGAAGGGTACGAACCAGGATTCTACTGGATAATGGTTAGGTACGAACCACATGCGGTCTCGGTTTTGTCCACAGAGATCCTTCTTAACAATAGCAATACGGCTTAATCGGGTGTTGTCCCATTTTAGTACGACGCCGTACACAAAACAGTAGTTTTGATAACGATATTCTTCATTTATTGTTGGTAGATCCAGCTTGTCCGCACATAGAACACCGTTTGATTCGTTGGTTTCAAATGTTGCAACGGTCACGTGGTTATTCTCAATGTCAATGACATAACGTTTCACCATAGCATGGGCATCAAAATTATTCCGCCTTTTAGAGTCCCGTAAAATTGCGATTTCTAGATTTTTAACAAAAGCAGGGCTTTTGTAAGCTGAAACATCTACGACAATCTTCGAGTCGGCTCCTTCAAAAGCGTTGATATGATGCATGGTAAAGACATTTGGAATCCTCATGGTTTTTACTTCTCCCGTCTTGATATGTATGACATAAACAGTTGTGTCCTGGTCTGCGAACCAATCCAGACTCTCAAATGGTTCGGCAGTGCGCAGGATTTTTTCAACGTTAATATAAAAAGGAGCAGCAAAAATTATGACGTAATTTGGCGTCGCCGAAAATGAGTGCATATACGGTACTTTGTCGACGTCCCACTCAGCGACAGATTCACGTTCTGTTGTTGATTTTATCCGGATAAGGCTAATCTTGCTTTTAATTCCGGGAATTAAACTCACGCTTGATACAAATGTAAAATGATTCGACGTACCGCTTTCCGGAAGTGGGTGAGCAGACGACAGGAAGCTCAAAAACGCGAATCCTCCGGAATGTTTGCCACTCGGAACAGCTGCGGTGATAGACTTCATTGTAGAAAGGGAAGACGGTTCTATCTGGTAGAGTTTCCAGAAGTCGTTTAAAACGACGTACTGGCTGATATTACCGTGTTCCTGGTCAGTGAATTTGTAAACATTTACGTTCATATTGTCAATTCCTCTCGCAAGAGCCTGCAACTTTTGAAACTCGTTAAATTCTGGAACTACACTCTCAAACATCAGATAACTCGCAATGTCGTTTTTGTCAACGGAATCTTTATAGAAGTCCGATTGGAGGTATTTTGTGGTGAAAAATGCTGAACCGTTTCCGGGGAAAATCCAGCTGCTAAGTTTCCCAAAAGCGTCAAAGGAATGAACAAATCTCCGATTTCCGACTTCAAACCTGCCGAGACCATTTCTGATCTGAAATATAACGAAATATAATTCTATTTTTGTATATATTAGAGACATTTTGTATAGTTTCCCTACTCATGTGTATGTATAAGGTATCTACCAGATTTTTAATACAAAACATATGTCCCAAAATGTCCCCACTTACATAAATTTATCGGACTTGCTTGTAAGTTAAATATCGACATCCTCGCATTATCTCGAGACGCCATGATGTCATAACGTCATAATTCAAAAAAGGAAACCCAATGTCAATTACAGCTCCGTCAGAAAATTGCTAAACGTATGTAAATGAGATTTATTTGATCTTCAGTTCATGAGATATCAATAAGCATTTCAGTTATTGTACAAACATGTTAAACACACGAGTTGTAATAGTTCAATTCATTTTGATTGGCTAACATGATGAACTTTGACCAAAAGGGTGTTTTACGCACTCACGGAAATAAGACCGCACAATAAAAAGTATACGATAGTTTTAGTAATAATTTGATTTCATCTCTGGCATTTTCAGTTTTGCATGTTAATTAATAAGCGGTATTTCACGACAGGCACCATCATTTATTACGCTTCAACTTGTGACGTAACAAAACATAGGTGGATACAGGACAATTAAACTTCGCAATAGCCTTTTTATTCTGGTAGAAACGTTAACTGGTAAAAACTCGTGGTTGTCATATATGGTTTTTCTTTCACTCTCACTAGCAATTTCCCAAAGGTTATAAAAAGTATTCGCTTAACTTTGTAGGTTTTTTGTAACTTTTGAAAGACACCACAACGACTCGTTGTGTAACCTCTGTTTATGACACTGAACAAAGAATGAGACATTTGATATACTACATATATCTCCAGTGTCAATATTTTTTAATTAAGAAAATTTCAATAAAATATTACAATCTATGTGAATGTATCTGTCACATTCTGCACTGATGTGTACCATCTTAGACTAACATCTATAGTAATTCTCATTATGCCCCGTAGGTTTAGTCTTACTGTAGCTATTATTGTTTACGCATTGAAGGAAACACTTTCGCTCGATCGATAGCGATAACATGCCATGGGTTGCGGGTTAAAGTCCCGAAGTGGCACACTGTTGTTCACTACAGTAGGCTTCACCAAGCTTACACTTGAAATCCTTGAATAGTTTGTTTCATAAGAATATCAACTCAAAATCAATCTGTATTAGGTTTTGGTGTAACAAATGTCCATTTGATCATATTTAGAACTTTTAAGGAATATGATATTTCAATGTTTGGCGTTGTACTCGCAAAACCTCTTTATTGAAAACTGAGAGCATTTATAAGAATATACGGCTATATCAAATACCATAACTCATGACTCGCTACCTATATCTCTCCTAGCGGAAGTCATACACCGGACAGTGTAAATACCATAACTCATGACTCGCTACCTATATCTCTCCTAGCGGAAGTTATACACCGGACAGTGTAAATACCATAACTCATGACTCGCTACCTATATCTCTCCAAGCGGAAGTTATACACCGGACAGTGTAAATACCATAACTCATGACTCGCTACCTATATCTCTCCTAGCGGAAGTTATACACCGGACAGTGTAAATACCATAACTCAGGACTCGCTACCTATATCTCTCCTAGCGGAAGTTATACACCGGACAGTGTAAATACCGTAACTCATGACTCGCTACCTATATCTCTCCTAGCGGAAGTTATACACCGGACAGTGTAAATACCGTAACTCATGACTCGCTACCTATATCTCTCCTAGCGGAAGTTATACACCGGACAGTGTAAATACCGTAACTCATGACTCGCTACCTATATCTCTCCTAGCGGAAGTCATACACCGGACAGTGTAAATACCGTAACTCATGACTCGCTACCTATATCTCTCCTAGCGGAAGTCATACACCGGACAGTGTAAATACCGTAACTCATGACTCGCTACCTATATCTCTCCTAGCGGAAGTCATACACCGGACAGTGTAAATACCATAACTCATGACTCGCTACCTATATCTCTCCTAGCGGAAGTCATACACCGGACAGTGTAAATACCATAACTAATGACTCGCTACCTATATCTCTCCTAGCGGAAGTTATACACCGGACAGTGTAAATACCAAAACTAATGACTCGCTACCTATATCTCTCCTAGCGGAAGTTATACACCGGACAGTGTAAATACCAAAACTAATGACTCGCTACCTATATCTCTCCTAGCGGAAGTTATACACCGGACAGTGTAAATACCATAACTCATGACTCGCTACCTATATCTCTCCTAGCGGAAGTCATACACCGGACAGTGTAAATACCATAACTCATGACTCGTTACCTATATCTCTCTTAGCGGAAGTTATACACCGGACAGTGCAAATGTATTTGTATTAAGTCTTTGTATACATTTTAAAAAATTTGGGACAATCTTTATGAAGGTGGCGTGTATGTTAAAGATGACCCATTTAAAAAAAGTATAAACATTTTTCTTTCAGAAGAGAAACAGTATAGAAACCAATAGCATGTTGAATATAATACCAAGCGTTTTAACATCATATTCAGTTTGAAAGACAAAAATAATTGTTAATAAATCTGTTGACTGTAATACGTGTATTTCGTTTTTACAGGATAAAATGACTGATGGGACAGCCACCAGGAATATAATTCTAAAAATCCTGACAACTGTTTACTAACCAACACCAATGACGTAGTGACCATGTAGTTCACGTGTAATCAAAGAGATAATACTATATTTGAGGGGGCCACATGCTGTATACGTCTGACCACGTCCAAAGCAATGTCCAGTCATTAACCCCGAATAAAGGGGTCACACGAACCATTATCGAAACAAACACATCGGTGTTTGTGTACTAGGCACAGGTGAAATGGCGGTAAACAATACTTCATTACAGTGTCCGAATTTCTCTAAATTCGAAATTTTCTGTTAAAATGTTTTTTTTTAAAAACATTGTTTTTTTTAAAAATAAAATTCAGTCTCGAAGCATAGGAACAGGCCGTTGCAAAAGTTCGGATAATTATGCGGAAAAGGCATGACGTAGGATATAACACTACCTCCGCCCCATACTAAAGTGAAATACGTATTACAGTATTAGAATTCATTAAACGAAAAAAAACTAACGAACTAAAAAAAAAAAAAAAACATTACACTGTACAATCAAAGAGATTGTCAAAAACTGAGGGCGAGATTCCCTGTGCAAGTTTCAAACGTTGAAAAAGAACAAAAGGAATGTTATTTTATCAGAAATGCCGCTGAGGAAAACACAAGTAAATGAGTTTTCATAAGGTCTACCGAGTTTCAGAGAAATTGAATAAAAATTGAACTATGAGATAAAAATCAACCGGACGTAAATGTTTGTCCGACGGACGAACAACGCCATATCATAAGTTAAATTGGATCATTATGAACGGACGTAGAAAATAAAGATTTGAATCAACAATTGATGAATCTGTAAAAGTGGAATAAAACAAACAAACAAAATGGTGGAATATATTATATGGTATAATTTACAGACCACATAACCACGTAACATACAAAACATCTAAAGATACAATGTAAGGAGAAAGCGGTTTTACACAGAAATACTCACCAGTGTTCCTTTGAGCCATGTAGGAATCGGTTTGTCAAAATATATCGGAACATTTTCCATCTCCGCTAGATTCGTTTTGAAGAAAACATCGAATCCAGGATCAGGGTCCGCAGTAATCTCTGCCGTTAAAATTTTCATAGTCACAAAAATTATGACTACAAAATTTGTGAAAATCTGATGTTCCATTTTCAAAGTAGGTAGCTGTTGATAGAATAGCTAGCAATTATTGTTGCATACTGGGTTTCCTTAGCCGGGGTTGCAGTCACGTCTGCCGCAGGAAGAAAGACTAGACATAATCTTACCTAATCAATGTTATATACATGTCTGGTTATCAATAAACTGGGAGTAGGTCGGGGTTGTATAATCTGTCTGGGTTGCGTAAGGACAGACATATCAGTAATAAGACACTATATGTCCCCATATGTCCCTATCCTTGTATGTATCCCCTCCCCTTCCCCCACCCTGCCTGGCTCTGTCGGTACGTATCTACGTAACGTGCTACGGTATCCTTGCAGGACACTCCTTCGGATTTCGACTATATATCACATTCTCTCCGAGTCCTCACATGGACTGTCAACCATAACATTTCTGATGTTTACATAAGGCGCTGTACATTAATTCTTCCATCGGAACTCAACCCCGCCCCACCCCAAATGCACGCATTCTCGAGAAAACACCAGCCCCCACCATACCTCCCCTCCAAACCCGAGCGATTTCCATCATGCCATTTGCTAGAAGAAACACGTGGTCCAACCGTGAACAAACAGGACGTTGTGTAACCAAATGATGTTGTGTAACGGGTTTTTTTTTATCGTTAATACATTGTGTGTAGGTAACCAAGAGATAGTGTAGGCGAGGTGTTCAATACAAAACCTCTAAATACTATTAAATGTTTCGTTTAGATGTTTAAATACATTTTTCTTATTATTCTATCTATTCTCAACAAATACAAACGAATGTTTCTAAGATGAACAGTAACATGCTGGAGACAAAAAATCCAACTGTATGTCTGAAATAAAGTTTTTCAGTTTTTAAGCGTGGGTTAACGACAACAACAACTGGTCATTGTTATATATATATATATCTTCCCCGTTATTGTTTATATATATATATATATTCCCTGTTATTGTTTATATATATATATCTTCCCTGATATTGTTTATATATATATATATATATATTCCCGTTATTGTTTATATATATGTATATTGTTATATATATATATATATATATATATATATATATATATATCTTCCCTGTTATTGTTTATATACATATATATTCCCTGTTATTGTTTATATACATATATCTTCCCTGTTATTGTTTATATATATATATATATATATATATATCTTCCTCGTTATTGTTTATATATATATATATATATCTTCCCCGTTATTGTTTATATATATATCTTCCCCGTTATTTTATATATATATATATATATATATATATATATCTTCCCCGTTATTGTTTATATATATATCTTCCCCGTTATTTATATATATATATCTTCCCCGTTATTGTTATATATATATATATATATATATATGTATTCCCCGTTATATATATATATCTTCCCCGTTATTGTTTATATATATATATATATCTTCCCCTTTATTGTTTATATATATATATCTTCCCCGTTATTGTTTATATATATATATCTTCCCCGTTATTGTTTATATATATATATCTTCCCCGTTATTGTTTATATATATATATCTTCCCCGTTATTGTTTATATATATATATATATTCCCTGTTATTGTTTATATATATATATCTTCCCTGATATTGTTTATATATATATATATATATATATATATGTATATCTTCCCTGTTATTGTTTATATATATATATATATATATCTTCCCTGTTATTGTTTATATACATATATATATATATATATATATATCTTCCCTGTTATTGTTTATATATATATATATATATATCTTCCTCGTTATTGTTTATATATATATATATATATCTTCCCCGTTATTGTTTATATATATATCTTCCCCGTTATTTTATATATATATATATATATATATATATATTCCCCGTTATTGTTTATATATATATATCTTCCCCGTTATTGTTTATATATATATATATATATATATATATATATATCTTCCCCGTTATTGTTTATATATATATATCTTCCCCGTTATTGTTTATATATATATATCTTCCCCGTTATTGTTATATATATATATATCTTCCCCGTTATTGTTTATATATATATATCTTCCCCGTTATTGTTTATATATATATATCTTCCCCGTTATTGTTTATATACATATATCTTCCCCGTTATTGTTTATATATATATATCTTCCCCGTTATTGTTTATATATATATATCTTCCCCGTTATTGTTTATATATATATATATCTTCCCCGTTATTGTTTATATATATATCTTCCCCGTTATTGAAATGATCTTTTCCTGTCGATGAGTGGACATTGGGTGTTTTTGGTCTTTTCCTGAAGTCTTTTCCAGAAAATACAACGATGCGGCAAATTTTCGTTGTGTTGCTTTCACAATTTCAGGAGAGATATTGTAATATGGCATTGACTTGCGTGTCTTTCGTATAATTTGGAACACGTTAAATTCTAATGTAGCACAAACCATTTGTTTATACCTCACATTTTTATTATTTCGCAACCATACTAGTACTACATTCAGTGCGGCCGAATTAACGATAATTATTGGTATTTCGCTGCGGAACAACAAATACCGGTCATCATATGTAACACGAACCAATTTTTTTCCCCATCATGTTTGCACATTGAAAATCTAAATAAATTCACACTTTCTTAATTTACTTATTGACCCCACCTACTTCTTGTATTAGTATTTACGTATTATCAAATATATACTATTGTAACCTTCTCTGGTATCTCGGTCACGTGGTTAAACGCTATGTAATAATTGTAGATGTCTTGGAGATTGTGTTAGTAAAATGTTTGAAGTTAAAAATAAATCATCAAATGTTTTTGCTATTGTTTACCAGGGACATAACTACACGTAGAGTGATCTTTTACGTTACCTGGCACAGACACAGAAATCACGTGACACACAGATTCAGGAACAAATCAGATTACATACAACATTGATAGTTTTTGCCGGTTTACTAGTATTCTGCTTTTAATTCTGCGATGACATGTAAAGAATGACTTCTACCGTAATATGTCAGGTTCCAGAAGGGCCCAGGCGACACAAAGCAACTTCGAACAGGACATAAATTAAAATGGATACACTTTTATTGTCCAGAGTGTCGGATAATTGTCAGTTATAGGACAGCTAAACGTAGATCACTTTATATTTCTCAAAAAACATTTTACCATGAAATTAATCCTTACCGCCATTACCGTTCCCTCTATTTAAACTTAATCGGTAATTTATAATAAGTTCATTGTTAATAATGAATATTACCCTTGTGCTTAAATTATCTCAACAGTAAAGTCCCACCAGAGATACAAAACGGGCAGGAAAGAATGGATGGCCCAAAACGGGAAAGTCATTCACCTGTCCTAAAAGCTAATGCATTCAAATGACTCTCAATCAAGTCATTCAAGGAGTTCAGTGATATGAGTGGTCTTTTTGCTAGGTTGAAGCTTGTTATCAGTCATTTTAAGATGTGGTCTGTTGTAGAATCACAATCACTTGCCATCTAGAACATTTCGGGTTAAAGTCAAAGCCAAAGGATGCAACACTGGCAGCTCAAACGGATATGCATCACAGCTATTTGAGAAACACAAACCAGTGCAGGTACGGAGAAATGAAACACACATAATTAATAGGGAGCACCGAACAACACATATAAGATCTTAATTTGTAGGGAGCACAGAACCACACATATAAGATCTTAATTTGTAGGGAGCACAGAACCACACATATAAGATCTTAATTTGTAGGGAGCACAGAACAACACATATAAGATCTTAATTGGAAGGGATCACAGAACAACACATATAAGATCTTAATTGGTAGGGATCACAGAACAACACATATAAGATCTTAATTGGTAGGGATCACAGAACAACACATATCAGATCTTAATTTGTAGGGATCACAGAACAACACATATAAGATCTTAATTGATAGGGAGTACTGACCAACATACATAAGATCTTAATTGGTAGGGATCACAGAACAACACATAAGATCTTAATTGATAGGCAGCATTGAACCTCACATATAAGATCTTAATTGGTAGGGAGTACAGACCAACACATATAGGATCTTAATTGGAAGGGATCACAGAACAACACATATAAGATCTTAATTGGTAGGGAGTACTGACCAACACATATAGGATCTTAATTGGAAGGGATCACAGAACAACACATATAAGATCTTAATTGGTAGGGAGTACTGACCAACACATATAGGATCTTAATTGGAAGGGATCACAGAACAACACATATAAGATCTAAATTTGTAGGGAGCACAGAACAACACATATAAGATCTTAATTGGTAGGGAGTACTGACCAACACATATAGGATCTTAATTGGAAGGGATCACAGAACAACACATATAAGATCTTAATTTGTAAAGAGCACAGAACAACACATATAAGATCTTAATTGGTAGGTAATACTGAACAACACATATAAGATCTAAATTTGTAGGGAGTACAGAACAACACATATAAGATCTTAATTGGTAGGGAGTACTGACCAACATATATAAGATCTTAATTGGTAGGGATCACAGAACAACACATATAAGATCTTAATTGGTAGGTAGCACAGAACAACACATATAAGATCTTAATTGGTAGGGATCACAGAACAACACATATAAGATCTTGATTTGTAGGGAGCACAGAACCATACATATAAGATCTTAATTTGTAGGGAGTACAGAACAACACATTTAAGATGTTAATTGGTAGGGAGCAACAAACAACACATACAAGATCTTCATACTCTAACCAATTGAACAATCATGACTCCTTATTAGGTAAATGTAATTTAATTACCTAGTTTTCATCTTAGTGACTAAAATAACGCAAAATGAAAATAATTCAATCATATCAATTTAATAATCAAAATTGTTCACCTGTTACAAGTTATTTCTGAAATTTTCATTTTAAATATAACTGATCTCAATCAAATATGAAATTTAACTGTTGAATGTTTTAAATATTTTTTTCTTATTGTAGCTGATATAATATGAAAATATATATTGATATATATATGTATATACAGGTACACTCTGTTGTTTTGTAAATGCATCCATTGTACCTAATTGACATCAATAGTTGCAAGTTTGCACACATTGGATATCAGAAGTCACAGGAGATAAATCTTGTTATCTCAGCATGCTTACAACTCTTTGTGCCATCTCAAAAATTTAAAAACAAAACTATATTCAATTTCTAATAAAGTTTGAAACAAAGCGAATAATAAGATCTAATAATGTTTGTAAACAAGAGGCCCAAGGGGTCTTAACGGTCACCTGAGGAATATATGTCAATAATCTGGGGATTTTAAAATGTTGCAAAAATGTAACAACACTTGTGCAGGACCATGTGTAAAACATTTGTACCAAGTTTGAACATGACCCACTCAATAGTTCTTGAGAGGAAGTCCATAATGTCTTAGCCAAACAGAGGCCAGGGTGGCCATCTTGGATATTGAATCACCCCAAAAAGTTAAAACACTTGCCAGGACCTTGTGTAGAACATTCGTATCAAGTTTCCCCTATTGGGGCCACGCCCTTTTTGTTCGCAAACTTGAAGCGGCTTCCCATGGGGATGCTTTGTGCCAAGTTTGGTAAAAATTCATCCACTGGTTCTTGAGAAATAGTCATTTAAGGAAGGTTTTTACATATGGCCCCTTTTACACCCCTTATGGACCCCAAAGGCGACATTATCACTTTTTTTCAACATAATATCATATGTCCTTCACTAAGGGATGCTGTCTACCAAATTTGGTTGAAATCGGTCAAAATTGAATTTTCGACCCTTTTGAGCGCCCCCTAGTGGAGCCGTTTTTGACCCAATTTTTTTTTCATTCGCAAACTTTGTAGACCTTGCCATAAGGACCCTAAATATCAAATATGAATTTAATCTGACTGTTGGTTCATGAGAAGAAGATTTTTGAAGATTTACCTAATTTTACCTCCTTATTCCCCCCCTCCTGCGGCCCCTATTAGGGCCATGCCCTTTTTCTTCGCAAACTTGAAGCGGCTTCCCATGGGAATGCTTTGTGTCAAGTTTGGTCAAGATCCATCCACTGGTTCTTGAGAAAAAGTCATTTAAGGAAGGCTTTTACATATGGCCCCTTTTACACCCCTTATGGACCCCAAAGGGGACATAATCACTTTTTTCAACATAATATCATATGTCCTTCACTAAGGGATCCTGTCTACCAAATTTGGTTGAAATCGGTCAAAGTTGAATTTTCGACCTTTTTGAACGCTCCCTAGTGGGGACGTTTTGCCCCGATTTTTTTTTCATTCGCAAACTTTGTAGACTTTGCCATAAGGACCCTAAATATCAAATATGAATTTAATCTGACTGCTGGTTCATGAGAAGAAGATTTTTAAAGATTTACCTAATTTTACCCCCTTTTTCCCCCTCCTGCGGCCCCTATTGGGACCACACCCTTTTTCTTCGCAAACTTGAAGCGGCTTCCCATGGGGATGCTTTGTGCCAAGTTTGGTCAAAATCCATTCAGTGGTTCTTGAGAAGAAGTCGAATATGTGAAAAGTTAACGACGCACGACGACAGACAAATCATGATGGCAATAGGTCTAAAAACCAAGTTTGTCTTCATTATTCAGAATGGTACCTTAGTTTTCAAATACAAGTTTTGAAAAAAATACCATTAAAATTAAGCTACCTTTACACAGATACACAGAAGGATTCCCATTGATCTAAAATGATACAATCTAAGCACAAAAGACAAAAATAATTTATTATCAATTATTTTTGAAATTGTAAAAGAACCCATCCTCCAGTTTTTTCCCCATGTGTCTTTCCAATTTGGGATATTATTTGAAAATGTGTGTAGAACTGACAACCACAGACTGCATCTACCAACATTTAATGATTTTTCTTTATTATTATTTTTTTACTTAATTTCAAAATAATTTACTACCTGGTATATAACAATCTGACAAACTCGTCCAGGAAACAAACATCCTAAACACAAAAATATTTACATCAACAATGTGATATCTTTCATGTGAAATCTGTAATATTCACTCATAACACAGCATACAAATAATTATTATGCAAAAGTATTACATTGCATCATAAATTTGAATTCCATAAACATGTATGTGTTATTTTAATCCTCAATTTTCATAAATTAAATGTATCTATTAATTCATATTTATAGCTGTAGAACACATCTATCACCAAGTTTCCTATAACTTCCTGTACTGAGGGAAACTGACATTTATTCAACACATGACAAATCATAATCTGTTTCTCATTAATAGACACTGAAATGTTATAATTCAATTTTTTTTTCTGCATGAAGATCTTATTATCAATAAAATAAGCACGCATTAAGCACTGAATAACTACTCCATGAATAACAAAAATATAACAAAGAAGGAAGCTTTACCAAGGCTTACATTATTTTGCATGTATCAATTACATTAATGTAGTCATATAAAGAAAACATTCCAATCAATTTCAAAAAATGTTCTTAATTTATCTACATTGGAAAAAAATTCTATTTTCGAGAAACACAATGTATATATTTTGAACTCAAAATTCAAATTATATCCAAGTTTGAAACGTAATCAAAGACAAAAAAAGCAACAAATAAAAGAAAGCAAAAGTGCAAGCTTATAACATGTTGGCTTTCATAATATGTCAACGCATAGATACCACAATATTTACATGTGTGTATAAAAATCAGTCTTCCGAAAAATCAAAATAATCAATCTGTTTCTCTGTTTTCATGTTCTTTTTTAGTACTGTCTGAGTAGCCTCCCTTGAAGCCCATGCCACAGGTTTCATTGACTGGCCGGGAAGAAGGGAGGTGCTTTGTTTTGCTGCAGAGGCTGATTTCCTGTAACACATGGAAAAAGACAGAAGTTGATAAAAATTCTCATGAGCCTGTTTAACACAATCATAGGAAGTATGAAACTTAACAAGAAAAATAAGATTTTATGTGAAACATTATTAACTTAATGTCACACCACAATATTATAAAAGGGGCATAATTCTCGAGAAAACTTTAATGTAAGGATATATAATTTTAGATATTGATGATAAGTGATTTAACTTTGAACCTCAGCTGTGACATTGACCTTAATAGAATGACCTGGATGCATACAAATACCCATCAAAGACTGTCACTGTAGTTATAAAACAATTGAAATATCTATAACTGTAACCTTGCCAATGTGACCTTAACCTTGCCAATGTGACCTTAACATTGTCAATGTGACTTTAAACTCTGCCAGTATGAGAGGATATATGACAGCATTTTGTCATTATACCTCCAATTTCTAATTCAAATTCACTATAATTTTTATTTTTGTAGGATCATTTTGGTTAAAAATGACATAATAGGTCAAATTACAACATAAATGACATGTACTGTATTCTATGGTATGAAAATAAGAATATAATGTCAACTCGTTTCCCTGAGGGTTGAGATATCCCCTATATCATAACTAGGGTGAAACATCCAGAAGATCTGGTCTTCCCTACTGTTACTGTGTGTGTGTATAACTGTATTTATCCAGTAATATACCTGACTGGTAGGCTATAAAACAGACATAACAAGAAAAAAAAGCTACTTTCTGCATAGTCTTAATTTAAATTGTCCCCTGACACAATATTTGTTTACACTATGCACTGTGTTATCTCAAGTCTAAATGTACATAAACCAATCCTGTTTAGGTCAAGGTCACTGTAATCACGCCTCAGTATACACTTACAAATAGCTAGGTCAAGCCAATTGGAACATAACCTTACTTGTCCAGGACAACATTGTAATCTGATAAGTATAGATAGTAAACATCATGTGTCATTTCTTCTAGATAGCATATTACATGCTCTCAAACATTTCACAAAGTTGTGTCATTTTTTGTAAAATAAGGCAACACAAACGATACAAATCCTCTCGCTCCCATTCATAATGAGGTTTGTTACAGAATACATCTAACAGTGTCTAGATAAATGACACACTAGCAAATTCATCCTCCGATAATTGATATAATTCTGTCTATATCATTAACACACATGTAAGCTATTTTCTCATCAACAGAGTACACCTGGAATGTTTCATAGAGTGGAACAATATGAAGTGCCATTAAGAAAAATACGAAGATAAGTATGTCACATAGTGATTGCAGATGTATTGGACATGATGAATGAGTTATACCTGTGTCTGATTATTTGTATTGTTAGACTTCACAAATACGTTAAGTTTGATTAAAATCCATTGAGAAATGAAGCTGCAAGAGCGATGACGAAAGTTTTCCATAAATAGTAACGATGACCTCAACGCTGAACTTTTCAAATGGAAACACTATCTAGTTCAAGGTATTATGATACTTGACCAATATCTAAAGCAAGATAAAAAATCTGTTGATAAATGCAGCATGTACATACAAATGCAACGCTATATCTCGCTATATCTCGGGGTGGTCACTGCAAGGGGATAATCAGAATTAATCATATCCAGACTTATTTGTTGTAACTTTCACTTGTGGTTAGAATACTCTACTTGTGATTGAGGGGAAGGACTGGGGACTAGGGATCATAACTCTGACATTACACTGAGAAATTGCCTTGGTCTGGGTAGAATTCATTACCTAATTAAGTTAATACCACTTTAACCATACCAGAGGGATAGTTTTCACATCTACCCATATATTGGTAGAATTTGAATAAGATAAAAATAGACAATATCTGTAGTGAAATCAGATATAATCAAAGATATAGTTATCTAGATTCCCCGTCCATGTTCATTTGAAAAATATAAACATTTAAAGTGAGCAACATGGAAAACTGAAATATTGAAAGCATTGATTGTTTATGTTCAGTTTAAAGTTCTGTTAAAGTGATCAATATAATAACAATTTAGTAGCATAATACTGCGAATATCAAAATCAGCTGATCGTACCTTTATATTCCCTTCTTTCATCAATGGTAATGATAGAATATTTGTCACTTCATTTCAGTAATGCTGGATCAATCAATGATTCTATTACCACTCAAAGTATGACAAAACAGTGAAATGGTTTATACACATCAATAAAATACATCACAGTATCATCTAATAATCAGATCTGTAAAATTGCAAGGAAGTTACTACCATTTAAACAAATCAGAATCATTGATAGTGCAACATCACTTCAAACATTGGACTTCTAAAAACAATTTTGGAAATTTACTATCATAGGTTTATTAAGGTTTTTTACCAACTGGTGAAAAGACCTATTGTTATTGTTCTGTTTCTCATTATTATTCTTATTCTTTTTCCATGATTTTGTGCCATCTAAATTTCCAAATCAGTGACAGATATGTTTATAGTCTTTTAAATGTCTTTTAAGATATGGTCTATATGTGTGTACTGATATCTTATTTGAAAAAAATGAAATTCCAATATGGCTGATATGATGTCATATGTCAAAAGTTTAAAAATGCAGTTCCTCAAAAAGTATTTACTGAACAGCTTTTCTGAAATGATATAGTAGCCAAAAAGTCCTGGACTAAATTTCATAATGGACATATAAATACCTAGAAAGTCAAACAAGAGATCCCAGAGAGATCTGGGTGTCCACCTTTGTTTGATCTTTATTTTCACTTTGAAAGTTGAATCTTTTCCCTTCTTTTGTCTTCTCTGTTTTTGCTCTTAAAGATACGGAATTTGAATATTCCTTTTCAGAAATAGCAATGATAATCTTTACCTGCCAAATCAATAATGGCTGCCTGGAAGCCATTTGTTTCTTCTGACCAGTCCCAAAATCAAATGAGCACAAGGAGAAACCAAAGGGAACATACATATAAAAACTGATAGATATCCATCAGTACTTCTTACTTTAGTGCTTTTTCTGACAAGTACCAAAATCAAACAGGCACGACAAGGGAAACATGCACATGAGATTTGAGAAAGATCTATGCTGCAGTTCTCAAGAAATAGCAATAACAAACTTTCAAAGTAAAAATCAACGATGGTCACCAATCAGCCATTTTGTTTTTTCTGATCAGATTAGAAATTAAATTGGCACAACTAGGGAACCAAGGGGAACCTACATATAAAACTTAAGAAAGAGCCATCCAGTAGTTCTCAAGAAATAGCAATATCAAAGTCAAAATCCAAGAAGGCAACATTTTGGCCATTTTGTTTTTCTGATCAAAATCACTATTACATAACTATAGACCAAGGGCAACCTACATAAGAAATCACAGTGGTCAACTGAAAATTAAAAAAAAAAGGATTGAGTTTGGATAAGACATCAAAACACTTCTCAATTACTGAAAAACCCAAAGTACTGATGTTTCACCATTAATATTTTAGGATAAAAGGCTACTAGACATGTTAATATAGTAGACTTTGATTCACTTTCAAGGTTACTGTGGTCAAGTGAAAATTATAAAGGATATCGGACAATCAAGAAGCAGCTTCATTAAATATGTGTAGAATATGTCGATAATCGAACCTGAACATAGGGTTAAGGTAACAGGTCTACCAAGCAAGTCTCATAATTCATTTGTTCCTTCAAAAGATAATGTGTGGAAAGCATTCAGTTAGAGTGCCGAAAGATATCAGCCAATCAGGTCACAGCAGTCTTATAAAATAAACATAGAATTGGCCGCTGATCAAACCTGAACAAAGAATTAACGTTATAAGTCTACAAAGCGAGTTTCCTAAAATTCTTATCATTCCTTCATAGGATAATGCAGAAATCACTCCCATAGACTGATTACAGAAATCAGCCAATCAGTCACAGTAGCCTCATTAAATATGCATGGAATTTCCAGTAAATCAAACTTTGGCAAGGAATTAAGCTAAAAAGTCTACCAACCAAGTTTCATAAAAATCTGACCAGTCCTATAAGAGATATCTTGCGGAAAGCAACATCCAGATGGACAGTGGGAACCCATTTGAATATCACTCGTCAACTTTGTTGGGCAGAGAATAACCAGGATAAAAAAATATTCTACATATTTCTACATGTCCTCTTTTCTCCAATTTCTCTGATTTTCTCTGATGGTAAAGGATGGTGAGTGAACCAGAGGGAAGAGAGAAAGCAATATAGGGCATAATTAGATACATGGCACAGATATAGAGATAAAAATCTACAACAGGAATGGGTGGGAAAGAGATTTGTTCTATGTCTTTTTTAATATCAAGGTAGATAACTCATCTTGGAACCTCCTTTATGTAATGAAGTGGATTAAAAGCAAAAAAAAAAAAAAAAAATTAAATAAAAAGACAGAAATGGGTATGACAGATGTTTTAGACTATTTTTATATAAAGAATAACAGGAAGTAAAACCTATGATAGGAAAGATCAGGGAAGAGATTTTACTTTATCAGGTTGGATAACTCACCTAAGGGCGTCCTCATCATGGACATGTGGTATAGGGGTAGGAGCTTTTGGGTGTAGTTCTCTCTGTATCAAGGCAGTCAGTGTAACAGAAGGTAACCAGCACTTATCTCTGAAAACAAATATTAAGCAAATTAGAAGACAACAAATAGACTTTTCCCCATAACAATGATACAGTAAGATGTTTCCCTATAACAATGATACAGTAAGATGTTTCCCTATAACAATGATACAGTAAGATGTTTCCCCATAACAATGATACAGTAAGATGTTTCCCCATAACAATGATACAGTAAGATGTTTCCCCATAACAATGATACAGTAAGATGTTTCCCCATAACAATGATACAGTAAGATGTTTCCCCATAACAATGATACAGTAAGATGTTTCCCCATAACAATGATACAGTAAGATGTTTCCCAGTAACAATGATACAGTAAGATGTTTCCCCAGTAACAATGATACAGTAAGATGTTTCCCCATAACAATGATACAGTAAGATGTTTCCCCAGTAACAATGATACAGTAAGATGTTTCCCCATAACAATGATACAGTAAGATGTTTCCCCATAACAATGATACAGTAAGATGTTTCCCCATAACAATGATACAGTAAGATGTTTCCCCATAACAATGATACAGTAAGATGTTTCCCCATAACAATGATACAGTAAGATGTTTCCCCATAACAATGATACAGTAAGATGTTTCCCAGTAACAATGATACAGTAAGATGTTTCCCTGTAACAATGATACAGTAAGATGTTTCCCCAGTAACAATGATACAGTAAGATGTTTCCCATAACAATGATACAGTAAGATGTTTCCCCATAACAATGATACAGTAAGATGTTTCCCAGTAACAATGATACAGTAAGATGTTTCCCCATAACAATGATACAGTAAGATGTTTCCCCATAACAATGATACAGTAAGATGTTTCCCAGTAACAATGATACAGTAAGATGTTTCCCCATAACAATGATACAGTAAGATGTTTCCCAGTAACAATGATACAGTAAGATGTTTCCCCAGTAACAACGATACAGTAAGATGTTTCCCTATAACAATGATACAGTAAGATGTTTCCCCATAACAATGATACAGTAAGATGTTTCCCAGTAACAATGATACAGTAAGATGTTTCCCAGTAACAATGATACAGTAAGATGTTTCCCCATAACAATGATACAGTAAGATGTTTCCCCATAACAATGATACGGTAAGATGTTTCCCAGTAACAATGATACAGTAAGATGTTTCCCTGTAACAATGATACGGTAAGATGTTTCCCCAGTAACAATGATACAGTAAGATGTTTCCCCAGTAACAATGATACAGTAAGATGTTTCCCAGTAACAATGATACAGTAAGATGTTTCCCCATAACAATGATACATTAAGATGTTTCCCCATAACAATGATACAGTAAGATGTTTCCCAGTAACAATGATACAGTAAGATGTTTCCCAGTAACAATGATACAGTAAGATGTTTCCCCATAACAATGATACAGTAAGATGTTTCCCCATAACAATGATACAGTAAGATGTTTACAGTAAGATGTTTCCCATAACAATGATACAGTAAGATGTTTCCCCATAACAATGATACAGTAAGATGTTTCCCCATAACAATGATACATTAAGATGTTTCCCCATAACAATGATACAGTAAGATGTTTCCCCATAACAATGATACAGTAAGATGTTTCCCAGTAACAATAACAATGATACAGTAAGATGTTTCCCATAACAATGATACAGTAAGATGTTTTAACAATGATAAGATGTTTCCCATAACAATGATAAAGATAGATTCTTCACCTTTACTTTTATACAGCATGTTGTTTCCCAGTAACAATGATACAGTAAGATGTTTCCCAGTAACAATGATACAGTAAGATGTTTCCCATAACAATGATACAGTAAGATGTTTCCCTATAACAATGATACAGTAAGATGTTTTCCCATAACAATGATACAGTAAGATGTTTCCCTATAACAATGATACAGTAAGATGTTTCCCCATAACAATGATACAGTAAGATGTTTCCCATAACAATGATACAGTAAGATGTTTTCCTATAACAATGATACAGTAAGATGTTTCCCCATAACAATGATACAGTAAGATGATAACACGGTAAGATGTTTCCCAGTAACAATGATACAGTAAGATGTTTCCCCAGTAACAATGAAACAGTAAGATGTTTCCCAGTAACAATGATACAGTAAGATGTTTCCCCATAACAATGAAACAGTAAGATGTTTCCCCATAACAATGATACAGTAAGATGTTTCCCCATAACAATGATACAGTAAGATGTTTCCCTGTAACAATGATACAGTAAGATGTTTCCCTATAACAATGATACAGTAAGATGTTTCCCCATAACAATGATACAGTAAGATGTTTCCCATAACAATGATACAGTAACAATGATACAGTAAGATGTTTCCCCCATAACAATGATACAGTAAGATGTTTTCCCATAACAATGATACAGTAAGATGTTTCCCATAACAATGATACAGTAAGATGTTTCCCCATAACAATGATACAGTAAGATGTTTCCCAGTAACAATGATACAGTAAGATGTTTCCCAGTAACAATGATACAGTAAGATGTTTCCCATAACAATGATACAGTAAGATGTTTCCCCATAACAATGATACAGCAAGATGTTTCCCAGTAACAATGATACAGTAAGATGTTTCCCAGTAACAATGATACAGTAAGATGTTTCCCCATAACAATGATACAGTAAGATGTTTCCCCATAACAATGATACAGTAAGATGTTTTCCCATAACAATGATACAGTAAGATGTTTCCCCATAACAATGATACAGAACAATGATACAGTAAGATGTTTCCCATAACATAACAATGATACAGTAAGATGTTTCCCAGTAACAATGATACAGTAAGATGTTTCCCAGTAACAATGATACAGTAAGATGTTTCCCAGTAACAATGATACAGTAAGATGTTTCCCAGTAACAATGATACAGTAAGATGTTTCCCAGTAACAATGATACAGTAAGATGTAACAATGATACAGTAAGATGTTTCCCATAACAATGATACAGTAAGATGTTTCCCCATAACAATGATACAGTAAGATGTTTCCCCCATAACAGATGTTTCCCATAACAATGTCAGATTTTTCCCATAACAATGATACAGTAAGATGTTTCCCCATAACAATGATACAGTAAGATGTTTTCCCATAACAATGATACAGTAAGATGTTTTCCCATAACAATGATACAGTAAGATGTTTCCCAGTAACAATGATACAGTAAGATGTTTCCCATAACAATGATACAGTAAGATGTTTCCCTATAACAATGATACAGTAAGATGTTTCCCCATAACAATGATACAGTAAGATGTTTCCCAGTAACAATGATACAGTAAGATGTTTCCCAGTAACAATGATACAGTAAGATGTTTTCCCAGTAACAGTAACAATGATACAGTAAGATGTTTCCCAGTAACAATGATACAGTAAGATGATAACAATGATACAGTAAGATGTTTCCCCATAACAATGATACAGTAAGATGTTTCCCAGTAACAATGATACAGTAAGATGTTTCCCAGTAACAATGATACAGTAAGATGTTTCCCCATAACAATGATACAGTAAGATGTTTCCCAGTAACAATGATACAGTAAGATGTTTCCCAGTAACAATGATACAGTAAGATGTTTCCCATAACAATGATACAGTAAGATGTTTCCCATAACAATATACAATGATACAGTAAGATGTTTTAACAATGATACAGTAAGATGTTTCCCCAGTAACAATGATACAGTAAGATGTTTCCCTGTAACAATGATACGGTAAGATGTTTCCCAGTAACAATGATACAGTAAGATGTTTCCCAGTAACAATGATACAGTAAGATGTTTTCCCATAACAATGATACAGTAAGATGTTTCCCTATAACAATGATACAGTAAGATGTTTCCCAGTAACAATGATACAGTAAGATGTTTCCCAGTAACAATGATACAGTAAGATGTTTCCCATAACAATGATACAGTAAGATGTTTCCCCATAACAATGATACAGTAAGATGTTTTCCCATAACAATGATACAGTAAGATGTTTCCCTATAACAATGATACAGTAAGATGTTTCCCCATAACAATGATACAGTAAGATGTTTCCCCATAACAATGATACAGTAAGATGTTTCCCAGTAAGTAAGATGTTTCCCAGTAACAATAAGATGATACAGTAAGATGTTTCCCAGTAACAATAACAATGATACATTAAGATGTTTCCCCATAACAATGATACGGTAAGATGTTTCCCAGTAACAATGATACAGTAAGATGTTTCCCAGTAACAATGATACAGTAAGATGTTTCCCAGTAACAATGATACAGTAAGATGTTTTCCCATAACAATGATACAGTAAGATGTTTCCCAGTAACAATGATACAGTAAGATGTTTCCCAGTAACAATGATACAGTAAGATGTTTCCCAGTAACAACAATGATACAGTAAGATGTTTCCCATAACAATGATACAGTAAGATGTTTTATAACAATGATACAGTAAGATGTTTCCCAGTAACAATGATACAGTAAGATGTTTCCCAGTAACAATGATACAGTAAGATGTTTCCCAGTAACAATGATACAGTAAGATGTTTCCCCAGTAACAACGATACAGTAAGATGTTTCCCTATAACAATGATACAGTAAGATGTTTCCCCATAACAATGATACATTAAGATGTTTCCCCATAACAATGATACATTAAGATGTTTCCCCATAACAATGATACAGTAAGATGTTTCCCATAACAATGATACAGTAAGATGTTTCCCTATAACAATGATACAGTAAGATGTTTCCCCAGTAACAATGATACAGTAAGATGTTTCCCCAGTAACAATGATACAGTAAGATGTATTCCTATAAAATGATACAGTAAGATGTTTCCCTATAAAATGATACAGTAAGATGTTTCCCTATAAAATGATACAGTAAGATGTTTCCCCATAGCAATGATACAGTAAGATGTTTCCCCATAGCAATGATACAGTAAGAATTCATACTTGTGTGCTGTTGCTACTACATTCTTCTTTGGTTCCAAATCATAGCTCTGTGTCTCGCAGCCATAGAACTCTGCCAGCTCATGTACGACTCTTCTCTGGTCACGGTTCATGGGAGGAAACTGATGAGAACGGTGGGGATGTTTGGACTGGAACAAAAATAACATGCAGTTCAATTCTGTAATTGTCCTATTCATATTTTTCTACCATAAATACTTTATTACATGCTATAAACAATTTATGAATGCATGTGATCTTGTTTTTATCTATAGAAGTTCAGTAATGCTTCATGTAATTTAACCTTTTAAGCATTCTAGACAAAAAATAAGGACTCATACGACATGTTGGATTTTGCCTTCCCACAGTCAGTACTCTTGATATAACACAAAGACATACAGTAGCTTACCCCTTTGGCATTCTGAACAAGATTAGAGAAAGCTTTGTCGATGGAAGCCACATTCTGAGGGTTGTTTCTGAAAAATGAAATTGCATACATCTTAAAAGGGGCAAGCGAGACACGTTTTTTCCTCCCTTTCCTTTTCATGTGATTCAAACAATTATTTCAGGTAAAAACAAAAATGCTTTTCAAGTACCTTTGTGCAATTTTTAAAAATAGAATAACAAAAGAACAAAAAAACTTTTAGGGTTATATAGCTTTTAGAATGTATTTCATTAGAGTGTTGTTACCTTCCAATATATATATACTTAAAAAACAAACATTATTTGTGTTTGTAGAAATCTATTCACCTGGCATATTCCTTCAGGAAGTCGTTATAAGATGGATTGCCAAGCTTGGCACTTAGGTCTGGGTTTTTAATTTCCAGAACTAGAGCCATGCGTCTGTTCCTTTCCATGATGGCACATTCTCCATCACACTCCAGTCTGTTGACAAAAATTAACATGAGGCCCAAGGCCCTTAACGATCATCAGACTATAAAGATATGATAAAATAGCAGTAGTAGTAATACAAATATTTATCAAATGATTAAACATTTCAGAATATTTTAGCAGTCAAAATGTAAACACTTCTCAGTTAATTTTTTGAGCTTAAATCAAATGTTTTTCTTTTTTGTATATGTTGAGTGTTATTATTTGTGATTTGCTGACAAAATCATCCAAGGATTTATTGATAAAGTTTGTATTTCTTGATTCAATTCAAAAAGTGATCTTACTGTCGTTTGGCAACTTTCTTGGCAGCAGATGTTAAATTGGATATATCCACTGTCTGTCCAGAGCCAACAGTGCTAGCTAGCGTTTGTACAGCTATCCTGAAGTCAAATGCAATATCAATGTCAGTCAAGTACATGTAAAGCTACAGAAGCTGTGTCTAGGACCAATATCACAGAGCTGTATCTAGCCAACATTTTCTAATTCAGACATACAATGATAAGAGTTCACACATCATACTTCAGAATGAGGACAGTTCTGGAAGGGATAGAGTTTTGAGCCCCTTGTACATTGATAAGTCAGGATTACACATTTGGTGTTCTGACCATTAGTGTTTTACCTATCAGTAGTCTGAAATAACTCAGATAATGTTTGTTATTATAAGTCAATGTGTCAATTCAATTCAGTGTAAATTTATTGATTCAATTCAGCGTAAATGTATCAGGTTTGTATGGAAAAAATATTTGGGAAAATAACTGTGAAACAAGTCATGTTCTTTAAAAAACAACAATTTTGTATCAGATTATCTATCAAACTTGTCTATAGAGGGTCTGTCAGGGCAGGATACACATGTGGCCTTTATAGACAGGTATAATAACAAAGAATTGTATTAAACTTAGAACTGAAACACATTGTCTTTATGAACAGGCGTTTGCTACATACAGGTACCCTCTAAACAGGTGTGTGTTACATACAGATGGATATTAAGGTTGGTTTGCTTATAACGAAACCAAAACCTTGTTAACTTTGATAGTCTGGTACACACAATGATGAAGACATATGCTGTGTATGTATCAGATCATAACTAGAGACAATATCCTGTCTACACATCACAAGCCAGGCTAACTTACTTCTGATATTCCTCGAGCTCTGGAGTTAAACCACCTGCCATACAGAACTGTCGTGCTGACTTTCTCCCACATGGGCACTTTATGATGATCTGAAACATACACCATTATGTGTACAACCAGATGTCAATCACTCAAACATCTACATAAATAATCTATCTTCTGTTCTTTAATAAAATTGTCCTCAGAGAAAAGTTAATACTGTACCTCTGCTTTGCACGGGACAGGTGGGCAGTCTTGACCACTGTGACATGGCACACCACATGGATGACCACAGACAGCCCGTGGAGTAGGGCAGGGTTGAACACAGTTCTTTCCATCTTCCTGACACTCTCCCTGTAATCAACATGTTCAGTGTTGTTAATTTAACAACCTCTGACCAAAATGTTCATAAACTTATCTACCAAGTAGTATGACATACAGTACAGTCTAAATATCAAAATTCAAATTACGAGCTGCCTATTGCAGCTTATTTGTACCACCCCACACTTTGCTATGTCTGTTTGTAGAGTTTGTCAACAGCCAGAATCATATTGAGGTAGGTCTCCATGTAACTGCCTGTAACGAAGTCACTGAACAACATATACAAGGGGCTTGATGTAGGCCATTTACAGCAATTGGGAATAGTGTCCTGTCAAAGAACAGAACCAACATAGCACAGGACTATCTGTTTCTTACCTCTCCGAAAAATGCAAACTTCTCTGAAAAGGAATCGCCAAATGACACACCTCAATATTCATCTGAGGTTGGAAGTCCAGTCATTAAGCAACTATATTTTCAAATCTCCTCGAAGACAGACTTTGAACAAAACAGAAACAGCATCTATTATTCTGCAGAGCAGATTGTGGTCACATGTAACATTACATCTAAACTCATATACCTACCTTATGACAGGTGCGGATACACTTGTGGGTACCACAGGGTAGTGCTTTGTCACAAGAAAGACCACACGAGATGTTGCTGATGTGACATGGGATGTTTTTCCTCAACTAGAGAAAAAAAAAAAAAAAAAGAAAAAGAAAATGAAGTACATATATGCTTTAAAATAGCTTTCTGAAGTCATTATAATGGTATTATCAATTGATTTTGAATTCACAGGGCACTGGCAATATGCCTACTTGTTTCGAAACTGATGTTTAGGCAGGATCAATTCCACTGAATAGTTCATTTTCATCGAAATTTGTTGAATCTTGGGAAACTGTGTCAAAACATTGTCATAGGACTACCAATTTGTATTTGGTTTAAGTAAAGTCACATGACAGTCAAACAGAAATAATTCTGATTGTCTTGAAGAAGCAGTATCAATGGTACTTCTATGATCATCAGATATTAAGATCTGAATAAGCAGGAGTTACCATCACATTTTCAAATAAAAAAATGAAAATTTTCAAAAAGTATTTCATTTATCTACCTACCTCATGGTTTCCCATGCAGTATTTTGATGTGAGCTCTGTGCAAGGGGGGCAATTCTCATCACTATGGCAATTATGACGAACTGTGGAACATAATGTCATTGTCAAAAGGTCTGTTGCTGAATATCATCCTGAATTTATTTTTCCTTTTTTTTTTCACCGATACTTATTATATACCTGATTTATTTATCAATAAAGTGTTTTCTAGACTATAACAACATCATTTCTTCTACCTACAATTTTCTCAAAATAATCAGGATTCATTTATTTTCAAAAAAAATGTATTGTGGTGATTAATTAAAGGCCCATGTGGCCTGTACAAACCTGGGTGGGAGCAGGAATGAGGGCGTGTACACTTCTTGAAGCATTCTGGTGGTTTGGCACCACAAGGAACAGGTGGAAACCTAACCTCACTACCACAGTAGCATGTCAGCTCCTCAAAACCTGAAGGATAATTACTTATTAAACCTGAATACCATCAAACTGAAATTCACTTAATCTAGAATAATAAGTTAAAGCAAACGAATATTGAACAAATAAGTACTGAACAAATAATTACAAGACAACATTGTCAACTTGAGACATGAGCATTATACAATTTTAAGATAGATTTTACCAAACACTCTATTTCCCCAATGTCAAATTTGGAAAGTTTACAAGTGAACAGTTATACAACAACTAATTAGCTGCCGTTAAATAAACAAATGAAATGCAATATTTTCTTCCCTGAATCCTAACCAGCTCTACAAAGTGACATGATTTTCCCATAGCATTAAATGGCTGAAGTGTAGGATGCCATAACTAGGTAAAAACTTACTTGCTAAGAGACAGGGAGGGCAGTATCCACGGTGACAAGGCTCCTCACACTTGTGAAGGCCACATGACAGTTTCTTCCCACATATAAGGTCACAGAAATGATCTTCCTTTTCAAGCTGTTCATTAAATAGAGAAGTTAGGATACAGATCATTTGTTAGAAGGTAACAATTCCTTCCAGTGACTCGATGTACATATCAACTGTACCATCTTAATTTGTGATGCTGCAGAAAATTTTATTTTTAATTTCCCAAATATTTATTTCCTATTGCTACCAATTAAATCCTGAATACAGGATAATATAAAAAGAGTTGTTCTATTCTCAACTATTTTCACTCCCTCTGCATATATTTAGGTCAGTGTTGGAACTGACAAATGTTTTTTTTTTGGAGAAAATACTTTAAACACATTTTTTAGAGATATTGAGTAACATTTCACTTCCTGAAAGGACAAGCAACTTTTGAAATCAGAACTTTTAGGGACACGTACTACACTGTTATTTTTTTGTCTATTATTTGTTTACTAAAATTCAATTTCATTGATTTTACTGAAAACCTTTATTTTCCTTAACTCACCACACAACATGTTTGTCCACATTTATGTCGGCCACACAGTCGTTTTTTATTACAACGTTTATCACAGTGGAATGGATTTTTCTCTGAAGAGAAAGAAAATTCTATATTCAAACAACACAAACCTGGACTTGTGTAGTAGAAATCCAAAGTTCAATATTACAGGGTTTTTCTATATTGCAGTTATGCACCAAATATCTACTGGACTCAAGTACTCCAAAATAAATCACTTCTGTCCATGTTTCAGTTCCATACACATTACAATTCAATTCAATGGAGGTTATCCTTTATAAAAACCATGAGTCCTGGGGGATACTTAGATGCTTAACAGGAAAATGCCCTCAATTAAAAAATTAATTTTAATTTTTCTGAATTTACAGCAAATGTACCACCACAAGCTATATTAATCTACCTTAGAAATCAAATTAAAAATCAATTTCTAAAACAAATGCATTTGGTAAGATTAGTTCTTGTCTTTTTAAAAAATCTTTAACGGCAAAGCTTTTATTAAACACAAATTCGGCACAAGGTCATTACAAAATGCTTTTTGTCAGTTTTTAAAGAGAGGTCATAGCTTACCAGTGATGATCTTGGCTTCTGTGCAAGGAAAGAATTTTTCTAGAGCACCACACCGACACTTAAGGAGGGTTTCTCCTGGACACGCCCCACAAACACCCTCATGACACAACAGCTTACAGATATGAGGATCATCTAGGGGACAAGATGTTTACATTGCCATTATCAGTATTAATAGAATGAGCCACAGCTGACTTGTCATATACTGTTTGCAACATCATTGAAGTTTACACAGTCTACTAGAAAACGTTGGCGAAACATGAATTTCCCCTGCTTCCATGTTAATAGATGTTGATGATGGGACTTTTGACCTTTTATTCTTGACCAGTGACCTCCTTCACATAATAAGGTGTAGAACTTGATGTCATGTTACTATGGGGTAAATACATAGTGTATGTGTTGACAGGGAATTGATTCTGAATGGAGAGCAACAAGACATATACAATGGATTAACATGGCCCCATCCTGATATCAAATGAGGGCAGAAATTGATCCTGTAGAGTATAACTTTTCTCAAACTTTGTATAAATGGAACAATGTAGAATCTATTAATACTGTTTCATTCATGTGTAGATTTCTGTAGATAATTGTACACTTGCACAAATTACATTAATATTTAGCAATAATTTCTTTTTTTCTCAAAGATTTCCTTCAAGGGTTTGCTTGCCTTCAATACAACAAGTATGCACATCCAAAATTTACCTGAAGGTCCACAGTTAAGTGTCTTGTTACAGATAGCCCCGCATGTGGGGATAGGATCGAGACAGCTTGTCCTTGGAGTAGAGTTGAGATCTGCAAGAAGAGAGGAACCACATGGACAGGTGATCACTGCCAACGGTGAAAGACTACATGGGTCACAAGGGCCTTCATGACATACCTCTTCACATGTGTGATTTCCGCACTCGAGTGTCCTAAACAAAAAATTTGTCAAAGAATTAATTTTTATTGAACTCCATAACTGTAAGAACCAAGTTGTTTTTAAAATTTCATGATTAAATCATGTCAGCTTATTAGAACAAGAAAAAGAACTTCATTCAAACAATGGATATCACCAAGGGTGACTCACTTTCCACAAGGTGCATTACAGCTGAAGGCAGATTGGAAAGATTCCTTAGTACCACAAATCACTTCTCTACTGGTGTGAGCTTTGTAGCATTCTGAAACACAAATTACATGTATTACTTTTTCATATGTGAACATGAAACAAGAAATGTAAAACTTTGTCAGATCACCTGTGAAGGATTGGTCTACTTTGCCTCCATTTTCAAGTGTGCTGCCAGTTTTCTATCAACACTAACAGTCACACTAAGACTTGCACTTCACTTTTCCCCCTTTGACCATTTTAAAGCTCTTTATTATCAGAATTAAATGCCATCTTCAGTCAGTGTTATTTCATTGGTCTCCACTGCATCAGAAAAGCTAAGATTGCTGAAAATCTGGGATATGTAGATGGATTTCTGACAGTTCTGAAGGTCTGTACAATGACTTCCTCATATACAGACCAGAATTCTGTACAGCAGGTGATATTACAAAGGCGATACAGTAAAATCATACCCTGTACAATGACCTCCTCACACACGGAACATGACCATGCATAACATAGAATACAAGAAAGTCTTACCCTGTACAATGACTTCCTCACACATGGAACAAGACCCTGCATAACAAAGAATACAAGAAAGTCTTACCCTGTACAATGACTTCCTCACACATGGAACAAGACCCTGCATGACAGGTGACCTTACAGAAATGTTTGCCACAGTTGAGTTGTTTACCACATTTTTCCTCACACTTGATAATCTGAGTAGCACTACATTTCATGGTTTGACTGTAATTAGAAAAACTCTACTTTATGGTAATTGAACACGATATATTGCTTATAGCAATATCAAGTTGGTGAGAGATTAATTTACTTGTGAAACAATACAACATTGTTTATTATTAAAAAACTTCAAAAGGAAGGTGCCAACATCCACAATGACTGAAATACAGTGAAAATTGAAAATCACTTCTTAAAACCAGCCTATCTGAGCGACCGAGACCAGAGATCTGACCAGCCAACCATGAAATCAACACCTGTGTTGACAGCTGTAAGCTTTGCCTTTGGCAGGTATGTCTGTCACGTGTAGGCTTTTTGAAACATTTACCAGTTGTCTGATGAAAGAAAATACGAAAATCTAAAGAAAACACAATTACTTGCATTTTCTTCCCTCCTGTTTCTAATACAATGCCTTTTAACATCAATATCTTCCAAAATTCTCATTCCTGAATTGATAATGAAAATGCCCCTACTAGGATAATAACTTTACACAAGGTCACACTATATAGCTCTTAAACAAATACTGACTAAGGTGATGATTTCTAGAAATACTTCTTTTTAACACGATCTTACCTCTACCCATTTCTGACTCTATCTAGCTGTAATTGTATTCAGCTTACCTAGTTTTTCCACAATCACAGGAACGACTGATGACAGCATTACATGGTGGACAGGGACCAGGATGACAAAGACTACAAAAGAAATTTAGCAGTCAGGTGAGGGGGTGGGCTTATTATAAACAAGGCATAGCATTTGCTTGTTATTCAACTGAGCATATGTGGGCTTATTAACAGGCATGGGCTTATTGTGGATAAATGTTATTACACCAGAATCAATGTCAAATATCCTGCCAAATAGAATGTACATTGAGGCAAGGTCATTTGTCATTTGAGAAATTTCAACTTTTGCAAGGGAAATCTTTTAATATTTTAAGAAATACTTCAAACAACTTGAATTTTGAAATGTCACTGAGATTGACAGAAAATTGTAAACGGTATTGGATTCCACCTAGTATTATCTTTTCACTCACATGTTACATGGATGTGGACAGTTATCTGCCCTTCGTTTACTGCACATCTCACCACAGCTGTGTGGAATCTCCATACGATTAAATTCAGGGTCTCTCACTTTGCCTGGTAATTTCAAAGATGTAAGTTGTAATCAAACCAATTTGGCTTAAACACGATTATATCAATACAAAGTCTACACCTCAATTTCAACAGCAATTCAATTTTACACATATTGGTATCTCAATTTTTCTAATGTATGACACAGAAACTTTTGAAAGTGTGATGGACCTTAAAAGTGTAATAGACTACAAAGATATGTCTTAAAACTGAACGGTGATTTGCCACAGAAGTGTAACTTACTTCCAAAGTGTGACTTACCAAAGACATGTGGTTTTGTAATTTCAATGAGTATGACATGAATCTGAAGATGTGCCATACTAAAAAATTTCAAATGTGGAAGTCAACATACTACAAAATATGTCCTATCACAGAAATGTTACTTACCACAAAGGTTTGACTGCACTATCACAGAAATGTTACTTACCACAAAGGTTTGACTTCACTATCATAGAAATGTTACTTACAACAAAGGTTTGACTGCACTATCACAGAAATATTACTTACCACAATGGTTTGACTTCACTATCACAGAAATGTTACTTACCACAAAGGTTTGACTTCACTATCACAGAAATGTTACTTACAACAAAGGTTTGACTGCACTATCACAGAAATATTACTTACCACAATGGTTTGACTTCACTATCACAGAAATGTTACTTACAACAAAGGTTTGACTGCACTATCACAGAAATATTACTTACCACAATGGTTTGACTTCACTATCACAGAAATGTTACTTACAACAAAGGTTTGACTGCACTATCACAGAAATATTACTTACCACAATGGTTTGACTTCACTATCACAGAAATGTTACTTACAACAAAGGTTTGACTTCACTATCACAGAAATGTTACTTACAACAAAGGTTTGACTTCACTATCACAGAAATGTTACTTACCATAAAGGTTTGACTTCACTATCACAGAAATGTTACTTACAACAAAGGTTTGACTGCACTATCACAGAAATATTACTTACCACAATGGTTTGACTGCACTATCACAGAAATGTTACTTACAACAAAGGTTTGACTTCACTATCACAGAAATGTTACTTTCAACAAAGGTTTGTCTGCACTATCAAACTGCAGCTTAACAAAGGAGTGTGACTAATTAATATAGATTTACTATTTAAAAGAACAAATGTGATATAATTACTACAAGTGTGACTTACCACAGAAACTGACTTACCACAGAAACATCTATACTGGGAAGGAAACTGATCACATTTGTTCTGACAGGCTGGACATCTCCATCCATTGTCCTCATCTGTAACAAACAGGAAACAATGATATTAGCCTAACAAAACCTTGAACATTTTATCTATAATGAACTGTCACATTCATAGCTTTGTATCACTTGGGTCTGCCAACACGTAATAAGTATACATATATATGTATATAAGTAAAACTCACTAGGATCAGGATTCCGCAAACCAGATAAATTACTGGGAACTGTCCCAGGTTGATACAAATAAATCACAACAGTGGGTGTTTTAATAAATCTTTATTCCTATGCAAAATTTAAACTAACGAGAAAAATATTTCAAAAACACCTGACTTAAAACATTCCTTTTTAAAATTTGTTTTGGACAGGATATTTCTATGGCTGAAATGCACATTTTAGAAATTATGATTTGCAGGTGATCAGGAAAGTCACCAGAAAAAATAGTTTTCTCATTACAAGATCTCACTTGTACTATATCAAACATATCATCAGCAAACTTACTTTCACCAACAGCTGTAGAAGACTTTGCCCATTTCTTGACACAACGTAGATGGAATACATGGAAACAATTAGAGCAGCTCCACACCGCATTATGACAGCGGACTGTCTCACAACACACCATACATTCATAAGAGTTGTTGGTCAACTGTTCAATCAGTACACCTTTTAAAATACAAGCATAAATTTTACCATTATAAATGATAGCAATAAAACTTCACTTCCATTAATGAAATTTACAAAAGAAATTACAAGCTTTGACTGAAGAAGTAATTAAACACAGTGAACACAATTTTATCTCTCAATTTCGCAATTGTATGCACCTGGAATCGTAAGTTATTGCAGTAATCTTTTTTCAGGATTCTTTCAGAAAAGTCCAGAACACCATTTCCAAAATTTTGATAAGTCCAATTACTACGAGATATAATGAGTTCTCAAAATTTCGAAGCGACAACCAGGGAAAGCATGAGTACAGCACTCGGATATCAATTTCAAAAATCACTCTTGTTGTATCCATTTCCATCAGCTTATAAATTTTATAATATATCATGTAATCTTTTTTTAAATTGTTAATAATTTATGAGTTATTCAACCTTAAAAAATGCTTGCCTTCTTTCATGTTTTTTATTAAGAGATCATGCTCTCATAACTTGAAATTGAATCTTCTGCTAATGTAATCACAAAATATATTGGGAGTGCCTAGATATGAAGCAAATGCATCATGCTGGTAAAAGATGGTCATCAGCTTACTAACTGTAAGTAATGATGCTGTAATCAAACCATAAATGATGATAGCCTGCAATAATATTCTAATAAAAATATACCTCTCTGACTTTCGTCCACCTTTCCAGAGAGTGTTCTTGCCATATATGGTCTATGACTTTGGTTACGTTGCCCTTGAAAATTCCTTGGCTTGTGGTACTTATCCCGGTCCGAATGTGGTTGTTTATTTTTATTCTGGTTAGAGGTATCAGAAGATATATCATTCTGTGGGTCATAGTCCTCATCATGTCTGCCCTGAAATGAACGTCCCTGATGTGGCTGTCTTCCCCTACCAGATCTCTGACCTCGTCGATCATTTAGTTGCTGCCTCTCCTCATATTTTGTGAATTTATCCTTGTTATTTTTTTTACTTTCTCCACTTGTGTCTTCTTTATTGAGGCCATAGTTACTGCTGGTATGAGAGACATTTTCTTCTTTTTTGCTGAATTTTCCATTATTTCTTTTTTCATTGAGACTACAATTATAATCTTTTTGATCATGTACACTATTTACCTCATGGTTTCTATTTCTTGATGAAAACGACCGTCTGTCTGGATCATAATTTGACCTTGATCCTTCAAATCTTCCTTTTCCACGTCCTCCTCTATTACTTAAATAACGTGGATCATTATTTTCAACATTATCCCTGTAACTGTCAAATTGTTGTCGCTGATAATTAGTCCCATTCAGATTTTTTTTCCCTCCCTGTAGATTCCTGCTATTTTTCTGTTTACTGGGTGCATCTTTTGCCTCAATTTTAGACTCCTTTTCAACATGTCCTTCATCATCAAAAGCACCATCTACATAACTCTGTAAATATTCATCAACTGAATCTGATGTCTCAACAACGGGTGTCTCTTCCACTACAGGGCTATTAGGGAATTTTTTTGTAGGATGATTTTGGGATTCATTATTAAATTTCCCTTTTCCCCTTGACGCACCTCCTCTTCTACCCCCCCAACCTCTGCTGTAACCAGGTTGCTGATTCATCTCCTGACCATAAAGTTGTAAGGATGCTCCAACCAGTGAATTATTATTGAAGCTTTGTGAAGGTGGGAAATACGGAGGTGGACCGATATGGTGAAATGGTTGAAAAATAGGACTTGGTGGAAATTGTGGATTTGGAGCTGGATAGTACATTTGGGTAGGATCAAAATAACCCTGCTGTCCTTGTTGAAACTGTTGGTTACTGTACATCTGTTGATTTGGATTCATAGTTGTTGATAATATTCTTGTGCTGTTATAGGATTCTTCACAAGCTACCGCCATTGGTTGAATCTTCTTTTCTTTTGGCTTTTCTTTTTCTAAAATTCAGAGAAAAAATTACATCAGAAATTCAAATTATCAGAAATCACCAAACTTTCAATAAACTACAACTACATGAATACATGTACAGTGTATGTCCCTGCTGCTCAGATTTCAAAGTTGTATTCATATCCCTGTCTGGCTCAGTTTCAAAGTTAAAACAGACCAGGAACCCCCTCTCAATTGAAAGAAACTACTGGAATGCCAATAAATTATTCTTTTCAATGAAATTTTCTCAATTTCAACAGAATGTTATATATCAAAGGGTGTGTTTTAATTTATCATAGACAGTAGGGAAATTTAATTTTCCATTACAAAATACACCTGTATTGAAATTATCAGATACAATAGTTAACATATGTTGTCTAGTTTTAAACAAATTCATAAATCCTTCCGAATGCCAATCTTGCCAATCATGTTTACAATATAATCCGTGAACTAGAGGTTAAAACGTTCTATAGAAATAGATAAAACCATTTAGCCCACTCACCCATCTTGGTGTGAATATAAATTTAATTACATTTTGTGTATCAATAACTTAATAGTGAACATTTTTAGCTTATCTTTTATCAGTATTTTTATCATATATCATCATGATTACTCATCAAATTACTACAACCGGCACATTGTTTTTCAGTTGCGACGCATTCAAAGCTCGCGACTACACCATGAAGTTGAACTGTTTCAACAGACTTGTGAAGTAATAGTCTATAGGCCCATTCAAGATATACTACACACCTCTTCCTTCTTGTAAATTGGCGTAATAATGCCCATTTTGATTTCTTGGTCGGATTTTTATACAGTTTTTATGACGTCATGCTAAATATAAACATTTAAAGTTATTTTAGCAATGAAGGTGTTGCACCACCAGACTTTGGCTTTGCGTCAATGTAGTCTTTTCCTGAAGACGCTTACGTGCAGATAAATTAAAAACCGTCGGTATTTTATATGTAAATAAAACATTGGTGATTACGAAACCAAAAATACAGAAATGAATGAATTATTCATATATAAATGTGGATCGGTTGGACGTTTTTAATCACCATAATATGCTTTACATGAAATTATATCAATAAAATTCAACAATCAACACTTAGCCCCTTTTCCGGATAGTTTTAAGCTTCTTGCCGACGCAGTTAGTGGTCGGAAATTCCCGCAACCAACAATAATCACAAGCAAGCACTTTCACTGTATTTGCATTTTCCAAAGGAGAAATGACGACTGACCTTCCTTGCGGTACCGTCACTGTGCGGTTGATAAGATCGTTCGAACATAGGAATATCAAACACATCGTGTTTCAAAATGTTGATTTAACACAGACGGCAGAAACCTTCATGCGGTGCATTGATAATGGTATGGTAGAAAACATCTCGCATGTATCCTTGGCTCAGTTTCTAACCCCTTAAGAACTATTTCACGCTAGCTATGCTAGGTCAGCGGAAAACTGAAAAGTAAAAGGTTGACAGAAAAACAAACAACAAAATAAAATAATGGTGCGAAAATTGTGTATATCTGTGTTGATGTGTACACCTTTTCTGATGAGTTTGATATTTAAGTTTTATCTTATGGTTGTTGTTTCTCAAATGAATCGCGTTTCATGGTAAATATTCTTTGTTATATATCACAAAGTATTTAAATAAAGTTAATTTTTCATCAGTCGCTCTACAATTCTCTAGGTAATTAAATTCAGAAATGAGTCATCAAAAGTGATATTTTAAAAGCACCACTTTTCCAATATGAGATGTGCATGTTTGGACTTTCTTAGCCAAAAAAATTGCAAGAAGGCATGACCTTTTATTCATGGTAGAGTTTAATTTATTTGGAAGCAACAACAAAACATTGGCATCCAAGGATGGATTGATTGGTTATTTCATCATATCTGGGAGGATGTTCCACATGTCAAAACGTGTATTAAGAAAAATTACACAAATTTGCCAATGAAATATTATCACAGAATATTTTATGGTTACTGTTTTTAATCACCATTTTACATTCTTTCTGGAAATGTGACATGTTACAGCAACGAAAATTGTCCTGGTGCAAGGTAACACAGGTCAATAGTGCATGTGATACGCCTCGACAAAATGGTCGTTCTGACATACATAACGGTCAGGCACCAATGTCCAGGCGATACATGTTTAAATTTTATTGGAGTCAAGTCTGTGTAGGTCCAGTTGAAGTCATCAATGTTTTAGGATGTAACCACAGAATCTGATGCTCTATGTTTGAAATAATATTTATTATAGCACTAAAATGGCAGAAATCCTTTGTGGAAAAACAAAGGTGTTTAAAATTCTGATTGTTAATTGCGAAAAATATATATCATTTAAAATTAAGGGCACTACTATAAAAATGGTGATATCCTGACTTATATTTTTCCACAATATACACATATCTCGATATACAGTCAGAGTGTTGATACTGACAATCAGATGGGTCAAATTTGTTAAAATATATGCAAAATCTTCCTTTGAGAAGCAATTAAGTCAAACAATCATGATATTTAGCTTGTAAGCTCCTCGCATGAAGCCCAACAAAGTTCATGAAAAGGGATAACATTCACGTGCCCCATGTAACCTGAAATTCTAGATCTGTGCCCGATATACATTACGTATAGAAGTTAAGGAACATTGAGCATTGTCAGTAGGTGGGTGTTTGACCACTCTGCAAACCTTCCACCTTACCCAGTTAACATATTTTATATTTTAAACCTTTGATCAATGATGGCTTTTAAACCCATGTTTGAAATAAAAATTGATAAAAAAATGTTTCTCATTTCTGTCTATTTTATCAGGTATTACATCAAAGTTGACGCACACAATTGTCACTCACACGAAACATTATCAGAACACAATATCCTATGCTCAAGTTTCTTATCTAAGTAGATATTTACTTTTTTTCAGACTTGAAAACAAGACAAGGAATAGCTCCACCATTCAGAACTTATAAATATGGTAAGTTGACTGTAATATGTAAATAAGTACATTTACATGTACCAAGGCCAGTATTGTAGATGTCAAAATATTTAACAAATTTATTCCATTTTGATCAGTAAAATATTTCAAGAAAACTAACTTGAAAAAATGCATTATGTTTCTGTCATCCATACTTCTTTAAACAATTATTTTTAATAAAAAACAAAGAGGCCAACAGGCAGCTATCTTGATTTTTGACAGACATCATTAAATCTGGAGAAATATTGGATGAATAATTCTCAAATCTTGTATATAGGTTTACCTTAGTCCAGTTATGAAAATTTCATTTGGGACAAATGGAAAAACAAAATGACTGACAGGCAACAATCTTGGATTTTGACAATAAAAGTTTGTTAATGCTTTTTCTTGAGAAGCACAGGATGGATCTTTCTCAGATTTCAAATATAGGTGCCCTTGGATCCCTAGCTGCGACTTTTTGATTTTTCGACAGAGCAGGTAAACAAAATAACTGACAGATAGCCATCTTTGATTTTGACTATGAAAGTTTGGTATTGATTTTCCTGAGAAGTACTGAATGGACCTTTTTCAAATTTCATATGTACATGTAAGTGCTGCTTGGCCCATAGTTGTGCATTTTTTAGATTTTGGACTGATCAGCAAAATATATGTTTGGACATACAAATGATTTCAGTGGTTTTTGAGGGAAAATTTATGATTGTTGGGACTGAATTTGCTACTGGATGTTTGTTTAGCTTTCAGCATCGTTGTTACATATACATATATCCTCTCCTACTAAAAAAAAGTGGTTAGGTGGCTGGTGGCCATGGTTGAGCGAGTCTTTCTAGAATTCTTTCTAGACATTTATCGGCGAGACAATGCGTAGCGATAAGAAAAGTCAACGCAAAAGAAACTTATAAACAATTGAATCCAGACTTAAAAAAGAGTTTAGAGGTGTTGAATTCTATCTAGTCATCAGGCAGTAGTGGAATTTTCTGTCATGCTGCATAATTAAAAGTACATGTGTTTTCACTCAAATCTGTAAGTTTAATATAATAAATGAGATTTGATTACTTGGTAATTATAAAAACATTTTGAACCTGATTTTCGTCTAATTAACTCTGAACATTGACAATTAGTTTTCTATCGATTTGTCTATTCTACAGGAAAGAAGCCATTTCTCAAACTATGAACGATTATAAGTAGATATTTAATGAGTTAATTACAATAAACTGTATATAGTTTGATACAGGGTAGGATTGACCTGATGTCTTCCTTTGTTTTTGTTCCAGACACCTTTAAAATTTTACATCAAGCCCATGGTTCAAAGGTGTGTATCATGATTTACTTTAGAGAGATATTTTAGAAGGTTGTGAATGACTCGGAGTATGTTTGGTAACAATATGTGTATACATTTTTACATATTTGCAGTGTACACGGTCTATTTTTAGTGTACATATATTGCTTACTGATATCCTGGATGGTCACATTTCTTCATAAATTTTTTCAGACAAGTGACCCAGTCATAAATACAGATCATGATGAACTGATTATGTCACCGGATACAACTCTACAGGACAGTGGCGTCAGTGAGTTTCACAGCAGGTGTAAAATAAAATCTCACACCATCTCTGGCTCCAAGTCAGGAGGCAGGCTTATTAGAGGGATATGATATGTTACTTGTATTAATTTCCTATAAAATTTAAGTAGAAAATGTTGGGTTTATTACCAGGCAGGGGCTGATTACTTTGTACAGAGTAAATATAATCTTAAATACCTCAGGCCAATAAGGCACATTTAGTCAGCCAGATTGAGGGAGAAAATAGCAATTATTTGTTCGCTTAATATTGATGCACTAGAGGGATATAATGGAGGCAAGGAGTTCAATGTTCATTTTTCATATTGACTTTGAATCCAAATAAAATCTTAAATAAGTTTCAATGTATTGTACAGACTATCCTTTATTTAGGGCTAATTTTTCTCTTGATTTGGCTATAAGATATTTTAAGATATTTATACCATCTCTTCAGTAGAACTTCATGTCATTTCAATTAGATTTTTTTATACCAATAAAACAGATGTTATAGATTGATATAGTTTTACTGATCACTAAAAGTCCTCTCCTGTAGAGAATGTTGAATTACTATTTCTCAAAGCCTCTTTATATTGACATATTTAAAACATAATATTAGACCTGTACATACTAAAGAAGCTCTGTTTCATATATTGTGCAGACTTCTTGTTAATTATATCGGTATCACAATCCTAGAGGACAAAACAGCTGTATGATGCAGTTTGATTCATTATTAGGCTCTCACCTCACCTCACCTATCCTCCTTGTGCCCATTGACACATAAGTCCCCCTTATTTGACTCCACTGTATCTTATTCTAAATCTGAAAGGTGTTGTTCACTTGTATTTCTTTTTTCAATCTTCCACAGGTGATATCAAAGCGAGTGCCCCTAAAATATTTTGATTTTATCTTTGGGATAATATTCATCACTAGACACAAATTTACACGACCAATCTTGATTTTACTTCATAACTTTGTATTTGTTTTATGTTCTATGTATGTGATGTAATTAATGTGATATCTGTGTATTGATAACGGAGCAGGTTGCCTCGAAAATTTGACAATTCACTTGTCCGTACTGTCTTTATTACTTCATTGATTATACATATATATGAACATTTGTTTGTTAGGATCCAGTACCAATATTGGACCATACCTTAGATATTACTTACTAGATTCTTTCTTTCTATTCATCAATATAAGTAATCCTTATTATTCTGACTTACTATCAACTTGTATTTATTGGCTAGGAGTTAATGAAAGCCAGAACTCTGTCCCTATCAAAATTGACAAGAAGATATTGATAATCTCCTCATTCTGTTGCATGCATATTGAAAGAAAAGAAGCAGATGGTAAATATGCTGGCATGTAATGTTATAATACAGATTTAGATTCCCTTTTTTTTCCAGAGAACGAAACAGAGTTGTCTTATTTCAAGATGGATGACTATAAGACATACAAACAGAACCCAAACTTAAAATGGTGACATCTTAGGAAGTTGGTTGAGATTGACATTTCCTTTATACTTGAAAGCTTGATAATGCTTTTGTGTGATATAGCTCCAGTCACCATGCCAACTTTACAGAATCAAGTTACTGTGGTGATACCAATATAAGCAAACTTACATTAATTACCTTACCATCACTAGAGTAAACTTAACATGACAATACAAGTTCCTAGATATACTCAGTGCACAGAGGAGTAGCAACTCCAGTGCTGGTGAAACAGGGAGTCTGCAACCACTGAAACATAGATTTGAATCCTTAAATCGTATGAGTTGTATAATATTCTACCAATGCTTTTGTGGTCTGTGTTTGTTTATCAACTTTACCTCTTGTTTTGCTTGCAAAAGCAAAATAAAAAATATTGGGCTGTACATTGTATCGAGTTTTATATATAGAAATTCCTGCCTGTTGATTGCAGTGCTTGGCTTAAAAGTTGCAAAGCTTAAAATTAATGCACCGTTCTCTTTGAATAAATACATTTTTTTCATCACTTGATTATTTTTAAATTGGGTGAATATGAAAAAAACGTGTAATATTTTTGGGTTTACCTTATGTAATATCAGAGACGTATATATCACGTGTTATATACGTCTCTGGTAATATGTAGCCTTTAGTGACATCATGATTAATGAAGTGACATTACACATTCACATATGGCATTGTTATTTTTATTACAATCTTAATAGCCTGTCAACGCAGAAATAATCATTAGTGCCATCAACTGGCAACATCACATGTTGTACACAGCGATCCTAAAGGAAATAACATGAAACAAACTAAAAGGTAAAAGACAAATGTTATAAATATTTAATGGTTATATTATCACAAAAGATTAAAATGGCCAGCTATATTCTATGATATAGACCAACATCTTTCTGAGATCACAATGAACACCATTGATATTGAGTCAGGAGGACTAAAAGGGTGATGTAAAAGTACTTTTTTCTGCAATAGTGCCAGAAAACTGTGAGATAAAAAGAATGTGAAATTTGTTTCCTTTTCCCATGTTTTTCAAACATTTTTAAGGAACATGTTGAGGTATGGCCATGACTGTTAGTCATAAACCTGTATTTGTCCTTAGATCTCTCACAGTTTTCAACCAATCTTTTCCAAACCTTGTTGGCTTAATCATGTTGACATGAAGTCGTGTTTTCTTGAATGGCAGTTTGATTTAACTGTGGAAGAGTTACTGCCCTTTGTTTATAATTTCTGAAGATCATCTCTCAGTTTTTAATCAATTTCTTTCAAATTTGGTAGGCTCAAATCACTATGACGTGAAGTGTTGTTTTCCTACACAGTAGTTTGATTCAACAATTTATGTAAGAGTTCTTAACATGTGTTAGGTCACCTTAGACAAAGTCTCAGGATGACTTATTGCGATCCCCTTTTGTCTGATGTCATGCATCGTAACATTTTAACGGGACCGAAAAGGGTGAAATTGATTTAAACTTCAAAAAATCTTCTTCAAAACCTAATCCCAGGTGTGGTAGAATCAAGTACTCTTAATGGATAGAAAGTCCTTCACAAGCTTTAAGAAAATTGTAAATGTTATGACCACAGGGTCTCGCATTGACCCGACGTGTCGGGGTAATGACTGCCCTAGTTTTTATAGAAGAACAAAAAAAGTCACATTTTTGAACATTACTAGTTGATTTTCTCTTGAAAGTAGTTCAAACATGGTCAGAATTATTTGCTGAAGATGACAGTTTAATGAGATGCACATCGGTTGAATCCCCGGGGATTTGGTTGGGCTAAAAATGAGTCAAATTGACCGAAATTATCTGAATGGAAGTAACTCCAATCAGCAAGATTTCTTATTTTTCATTGACTTCCGATTGTAAATTACCGTATTTATTCCAATAAACGCCACATAATTTGTTGGTCGTGACATGCCATGGCTGCCACTTAAAAACATTGTTTAACAAACTAACGAATTACTCAGCAAATAATGCATTTGAAAATTGCAGTAATTCCAACATCGTTGTAGCTTTAAACATTGTTGTCAATTGCATTCTGATAACCTGAATTCTTTTATGAAATGACACGATGTCAATCGTCAGCTTTAGTCAAAAACGCACAATGTTCATCATCGCTTGTAGGCCTAGTTTGCATAACGAAATAATAATAATAATAAAAAAAAAAACAGCGGTATATAAGCCAGTCTGTTTCTTAATAAATCCCACATACCTGATAACAATGTCTGGGACAAAACGAAATTACGACACTGCTTTCAAGCTTAAAGTAATCGCCTTCGCAGAGGAGAAGGGTAAACATGCCGCCGCGAAAGTGTTTCGTGTTGACAGAAAACGAGTGCGGGACTGGTGTCAAAACAAAGAAAAATTTTAAAATCTTTCTAAAACATCTTAACGCTGTAAAGGAGGTGAAAGGCATGTCAGATATGAAGATATTGACAAAAATCTGATGAGATGGCTACAGGACAGACGGGAGGCCGGAATACGAGTGACTGGGAAAGCATTCCGGTTTGAGGCCCTGCGTATGCATAAGGCAAATGGTAGTCAATCGTTCAAAGCCTCATATAGATGGTTTTCTAAATTCAAAAAGAGACATAACATTTCGTTCAGGCGATCTACGCGTTTATTGGAATAAATACGGTATATCATGTGCTAGTCCATTTAACTGTAATATGACCATGAATTCTCTCAAAATTGCTTTCCCATAAATCTAGTGTTCTTAGATGATGAAATGCTTCAGTAATTGATCTGTATTCATTTATTGGTTCCAGTTAGAGTTTTCCACTTATTTGGTAGGGACAATTTTGTGGGTGGTAATGTTTTAAACGGTAGTACATCGGATCATTGTCTATATTGTGTTTTTATAGATAGGTTTATCCAGTTTTTAATGAATATTGTTTTATTTTTGCGCTTGCATAGCAAGGGACAATGTAGAATGTTCTCCTGCGAGTAGGTAGGGGGTTCCCCAACCACTCCAGCAGTGAGTTATGTCGTTATCTGTTCTTTGTTGTTTTTATTAGTATATTGTTTTACTTTGTTTGACAATCATTAGGTTTGACTTCCGGTAGGAAATGGAGTGGGTCCAATCGATCAATTCGATTTGGCTATATCCACTCCTGTCCCCAAATCTCCTTTTCTATTGTAAAATAGTCTAGTTATTATATTTTGAATATAATGGATGCCTTATTTTGGTATCAGGAGTTGAACTTCACCTGAACTTCATTGTTACTAGTGCAATGATGCTATGCACTATTATCCTATATGTGATAAAATTGTGTACAAGTTCCTTAATTTATGGATTCCCTCTAAGTTATACTGGGTTTACCAATTGGAATGTCGGGTGCCATTCAGGAAAGTGGGGGAATATGTAACAGGGTGTACTCAATGTACTCAATGCACTAAGCTATTTATGTTTACGTACATAATATCTGTCCTGTGCTCGTGTCATAACTAGTACGAAGTTTGTATGAAGAGTGTATGTTGCACGGGTATTTACGTACTCACGCCACCCTGCACACATACCAAAGCCCTGTTCACGTCCACTACCAGTCACTTTCCATCTGACTGCTGGACGATCATGATCAAGACTCTTAGAGACAGCTGTGCCACGTACCTCATGGGTCTCTGGTAAGTCTTAGGAAATAATCAAATATTTCAAACCAATTTATATTGTCGCGACAGTTAAATGTATATCATGTGTTCCTACAACGAAAGTAAAAGTAAGTTCCTTAGTTTCGTATTTATTATGTTGTAGGTTTTCTTAATTATTGATTAAATGGAAGTACCAAACTTTTGAGTCGTCTCATCACTACAGAGCTGAAGGGTTACACTTGTATAAAGGTGTTCCAGCAACATTTTCAATGAGGTCAAAAGTCCGATATGGCCGATATAACGTCATAGGTCAAAATTTTCAAATGGCCAAAACTCGAAAACGGTTCATTTAACAGCATTTATGGAATCATATTATTTCTAATAAAAAGTTCGCTGTCGGGTCAAAGGTAACAAACTCCTATTTTTTATTAGTTTTTGATTTTTATAAAAATCTTTTTTGGTGTACTCAGTGTTTCGTTAACGTTTAACGCTTTGAAAATTTCCTTTGACCTTTTGGTAAAAAACAGAATGGACGCAGTGACGTCATATCCGTTTTTAATTTAAATTGCAATATATCATCAACGGCTAGATGTAATGAATTCATCTTTGTGTATGTTATGTAAAATAACAAATAAATAACACTTCTCAGGAAACGATTTTTTTTCAATGTCAACTTCGTTTTTCGGTAGGAGTCAAAGTTGAAAACTACCATTTTGGGTAACAAACCTTGAAAAACTTCTCAAGTTCGACACAGTCTATTGCCTTAATATTCAATATGTATGAATCGCTGGTAATTGACTATCAACTTTGATAATATGAATGGCCTTGATCATGCCGTTCATCCGTCTTTCCAGGTGTTGGTTTCCAGACGATAACTCGAGAGAAAATATGGATGGATTTAAATGAAATTACAGTAATACAGAATTGAATTGAGTTTAGGGTCGAAATGCCAAATACGAAGGTCACTTGCTAAAAAAAATTTTTCTTCAGATTTTTATTTTCAGATGGTAACTTGAGAAAGGATTGGTGGATTTGGTTGATACTTCATAAAATGTTAGCTTGTGAGGTGATATAGCTTAATATAAAAGCTATATTTCACATACAGAACGTCCGCTTCCTGGGGTACATACATGAAGCACTTGTTTGCATTAAACTGCATACCTCCTGTAGTTGCCTATGCCTAAGGGCTCCTGCAAGGCATTCTGGGTATAGAGTGATTGGACGATACGAAACAACGAGCAGTTCTCAGGAAGTACGTAAATGCCAGACTTGACAGCATTGGGCAGATGAAAAATAGCGAAGGTCCACATCTGTTCCTTGTGGGATACCTGACAAGAATTCGATACCTCACAATTCTTCGACTATCTGCTCACAAGGAAATACCTGTATCTTTCGACGTATTAGCGTCCAGCGTGTCTGGATGATTTCGGTGTGATATTGCCAATTTCCATCGAACGATGTCGGTTTGATCGCCCTTGTCATTTTTTTTTGCGACATGGTGATGATTAGTGAAAGCAAGCCGGGCTTTACAAAATTAACCGGCATGGAATCCGTTTTTTTACAGATGATAAGACACAGTACCTATCAATGCCATCTAATTGCTTGTGACACGATATGAAATTCAGGCCTGTAGTTCTCTGAAAAGTGGCAGTCTCCCTCTTTGAAGACGAGGACTACATGTTTACGTTTAACGAGTCTTTCAGTTGGATTCCTGTGTTGTTACCGGGGAGAGTCCAGTGATGTATTTCTTGCACTCCTACAGAACCAAATTGGGTATTCCATCTGGAGCAGTTTTCCCTTTGAAATCATTCGAATTGTGGAGCAACTTGGTGACTCTGTCCTCGCTTTAATGTCAATATCCTGAAATACCCTCCTCACTGTGAATTTGTACCGGTGTTAACTTTTCACTGTTACAAATAACACAAATAAATCGCTAAACTTAAGAGATACAATCACTTGTCAATGGAGAGACACCAATGTCGTGCCTTACTATATCTTCAGAATTTTTGAAGGCCCTTTCTGAACATTTTTTCGGTATTAACCGTTCTGTTCACCGGAATGTCTTTTTACATCCTCTGCAAAATATTGTAAGCTCTTCAAGTTGCCAGCCTTACAGGTGTGTTAGTAAAGTCGCCTAATCATGCTCCTTTGATGTCTGTTCAGTCTAGGTGGTTTCTAGTACATAATGAGGACTCAGAACTCAATGCCCCGTGTTCATTCCATTCCTGACCAAATAATATCAATATTTACATGTATTAATGTTATATATATTTGAATTATGTAGATATCTTGTATACCCCGTACAGTACAATATGAATATTGCTCAATGCATAAAAGACAACTTGTCTGCAATAAGCTTTTAAGTATTAAGCATTGTCCAATATGTTAAAGGTGTTGCTTGTGATTTTGCTTCCCTAACAACTACTACATTGCTCTGGAAAGAATCACTGCTGATGGATTTAATGTATGTAGTGCATTACTGTGTTACTCAGTTAGGTCCCGTTTACATGTTAAACTCGAATAATCTTGTAAACAGCTAAATAGTCATCCGTTTTGGTCCCATTTATCGAGGTATGTGATTATGTGACGTCAATTGGAACATAGAATGTGTTAAAAGCGCCTTACGGTCTTGTCACCAATGGGATGAAGATGTTTAATTGAACAAGTTTATGTGTAAGTACCTGACTTACATGTAGTAATGAGTTTAGAGGAGAGGTTTTGAAAAGGTGGAAATAGATATGTCTCTCTCTCGCTCTGTATGTGTGTGTTTGTGTGCATTTTCAGCGAAGTTAAAACAAAGATTTTTTCACGCGATATCTTCATCATTTATTTTTCAATGTACAAATATCAAATAATTTTATTTGTAGTAAGAAATAAATAGCATCAACTCTCGTCTCTATAATTTATACCTTAATTGAAATCTCACGATAAACAACATGTATTTAAATTAAAATAACATTGTACAAACAAAAATATCAACACATCTTTGTAGTAAACGGAAACATCATATCCATTCATTTACTGTGAGGTAACATCCATACATTTGCCTTGACGTCACATCCATACATTTGCCGTGACGTCACATCCTTACATTTGCTATAACGTCATATCCATACATTTACTGTAACCTTACATCCATCCATCTTCTGTATCGTCACATCCGCCCATCTATTGTAACATCACGCCCATCTAATTACTTTGTCGTCACATCCACCCAATTTCACATCCATCCATGCATTTACTATAACTTCACATCCATCCATTTGCTGTGACCTCACATTCATCCATTTACTATAACGTCACATCCATCTATTTGCTGTGACGTCACATTCATCCATTTGATATAACGTAACAGTCATCCATTTACTGAAACGTCAAATCCATGTTGTAAGCATACCCCTAACCCCACCCCACCCCCTAGATGTAGCAACAACCACCATTTTGTAATATATCGAAATAGAAGCAAATCTTTAAATAGTATGCATGCCGTCAGTTATTCTGGCTTGCTTTGCCATTAGTTACAACTTTCTTCTGAAACATAGACGTGACTTAACTACTTGGATTCCGATCCTTCAAGAATGAGGAACATCTCATAATTAAGTATACCTGGTAGTTTGACAGTGAATTTCTGCTTGCATTCCGGATGGAAAATCCATCATTTTTCGAGATTATAGTCAACAATATAAGTAACAAACCGAAAGTGATCATTCGTGCAAAGGAATCACCCGGAACAATCGTGGTTCCGGAGTTCTGGGGAAACATGGGAATATTATGGCATTATATTATATATATTATTAAGTTACAACAGGACGGTCTTCTGAATTAAAGTTCGTCCTTCCTAAAAATATTCTTCAATCCAGGAATCTTGCCGAGTTCTCTCTCGCTGAGGAGGCCATCTCGATCTTTGTCGCCAGACTGGAAAGCCATTTGCACTATCTGTCGTATCATAAACTCGTCCTGCGGTACAGGGAACTCTTTGGTCTTTGATGCAGCTTTCAGCTGATCTTCGAACTGTAACCGAAATCATAAAGGTTCATTACACAGTCACAAGGGAATGTGCAGTAAAGACGGTTAAGAAAGCAACATTGGCAAAGTTAAATAGTCGATACTCCTACAAATTGACAATAACAGCAGCAACATTCCAACAACATCAACAACAACAAGTGTATGTATTTAGAGTGTTGTCCTATAACTAAAACCTAAAACTGCAATTACTGCCATGAAGACATCTCTATTACCGACTTTTGATCTTTTTATTCAATTTGAAAATTTAATAAAATCATTTGAACCGATATTTCAGTGGAATGTTACATGCATGTATTCCTTCCAAGTAAAAGTTTCCTGTGTTCAATGCTTCAAATGGCGTTATGTTCAATACTTATTTATACAGAATCGGTACCCGAGGAGACAAGCAAGTGTAACAAGTAGACCGCAAATCATCAAATAACTATAGGCCTACCAGCTTAAAATGTCTTTGCTGCATTGTAATGGAAACAATTTTAGAAAACAATTATGACTTCTGCAGAGGAAAGTTATTTTGGTTCACCAAGGAAGATACATCGTGTTACAGGTCACTGATTAATGGATGGACGTTTTTGACAAAGGAAAATGCGTTGATGTACTCGATCGCAATTGTCTGAATGCCCGAGATGATGTCTCTTATAGAATTGTCTGTAAAATACTGATATATGGCTTCAAGGGTCACATTACCAGGGGGACCAAGGTATTTTTCCCGGACAAAAAAGAGGTTAACGGTCAATGGAAATACGGCAGTTTGAATGGAAGTAAGTGGTACCCCACAGGGTATATTTATTTACGATCCACAAGAGGGTCACGTGCTTAAAATACCGGTTAATATGGACAGAATAAACCTTAGCACCAGATGTTAACTCAGTCAAGTCTGCCACATGTCTCACTAGGAACAGTTAAAATCGTGTCTTCACTATACCAGGAGAAATCAACAGGTAATTACAGGGGCCTGGCTGTTGTATATCGATAGAAAATATATCTCAAATTTGAACATATATATTCTAGTATCTATAGGCTTAGATAACTATCCTGTTGTCCTAATTTCTTGATGTGTAAAATTATTTTCCGAGGTTTCACATTTCATTGAGAATCTGTTTAAAAATACAAGATGTTATGAAGCACCAAACACCTATAGAAAGTCCGTTAGATTAACACAGTCGTTTTTACTACAATACTGATATACCTGGATGTCTCTCCTTAAGAAAATCGAAAGCTATTATATGGAAAATTGATTAAAAATGCAAAGACTACAGTGGAACTACTGAACTATTGAAGTTTTGAAATTCTTCTTCAGGAACAAAGCAATTTTATTAATCTGACACACACGTATTCCGAAAAAAAATCACCACATTTAGTAAGTTTCTACAAAACATGAACATATTTCATAGAGACATGTACTATTAAGGTCATTTCAAATAAAACGTACCTCATTCGTGTCGATAAAACCGTCCATATCTAGGTCGAGTCTCGCGAAGGCTTCAGAAAGGCCAATGCCGCCTTGGATCTCATACAACTCCACCTCGAATATAACTGTTGACTTTGCGGGTACACCACCTAAAGTCAAGATAGTTCAGGTTCTATTTCATGACGGATCGGAATTCTAAAGTTCAAAATCAAGGGAATTTATCTGGAAATCACTTTTAAAACTGAATAAATGTAAGAGTTTTCGGAAAGAATATGTTTATCATTTTTACTTGACTATAGAAAACGTCGTTGGACACAGGCTTGATCATAGTTAATACTTGAACTGCATAATACGTTTTTCTCGGGCTGAAACATGGGCAGTAATTGTCGCGAAACGTTTCGATTGTTTGTCGCCTAAATTCGATAACAGACTATCAAAATCAAATAAGGTTTCATTCCTAGCCTTTTTTTTAAATATCCATTTTACAAATCGTAATCATATTTCGCTTAGTTGTTTCTGAGAATGTGATTTAAAAGATGTGAATGTCTTTTATATATCTCACCTCGTCCCTGTGAACCGTAGGCGAACCTGGGCGGGATGGTGAGTTTTCGTTTCTCCCCGACACACATGTCCACGAGGCCAATATCAAATCCCTTGATCACACTCTTACTACCGAGCTGAACGATGATTGGGCTACCACCATTGGTGCGACTGTGGAGGAAAACAATCATTAGCCGGGAATGAGTGAAATTTTCATTGTAGAATGAATTTAGTTTATACAATTTTATATCTTAATTCTTTAATAAAGCAAAGTAAGTAGGCAAGAGTGCCTCTAAATGTATACATGTAACAAATATCTTTAAATGTTGAAAATAATTATCGTTATTGTGAGATACAAGTATCATCAATAAAGGAGAGGTTCAATGAAAGATCCAAAAATAGCTCACAACAACCATCTCTTCCATAATACTGGCAGTATAAGTGAGAAAAGCTCGCACCATTAGAAGAAACTAGGTCACTGTGACGTGACTTGTATCGCCTCATTGAACTGGCTTACTTTTTGCGTCAATCACATTAACCAGCAAACCGGAAACGTAGAAGATATACAAGTTTGATATTCTCCCAGAAATTAACAGGAATGCATAACATTGAAATCTTACAGAACGCTAGTAATTTTCCATGTGGTTTTTTACCTCGAATCGAACGGAGTTCCGTCCGGTAAGAACCCATCAAAATGTACTTTCAGCACGTCCTTGGGTTTGGATTTCTTTGAACATCTTTCCTCGGACGGAGCAACAAGGACTTCAATTTCCACTTCTGGTAAATCCCCCTTTTTATTAATACCTTCTTCTGCTAAAGCAAATGCAGCCAACACAACTACAAGAACTAAAACACCCAAAGGATTTCTAGACCCCATGATTGTGTGGTAGGTCTGTTGGAGTATAAAAACGAAAGTGATCACTGCTTCGGTGTCCAGTCCGTAAATGCCAACCGGTCTTATTTGTGGCGTTTTACTCCATTGAAGTTAAGTACATGTGTCTCACTTGTCAATCACTTTTAATAGTAGCTCGTGTATACTGATCCGGGCCCCCGGGCCGGCATGTGAAGATCAGGACGTCCCTGTGTATATATCTGTATGTACAACTACACGAGACTCGCACTTCCGTGTGCTTTGGCCCAAGGACATTTTTTTCTGGTTTTAATGAAATAATTTATCAGAAACAGTAACGAAACGTGTTGTAAATGTTTACAATTTTTTTAGATAAAAAAATCTTCCGGTATACTGGTCGTTGCCCATGTCTTGTAAACTCCTGTTTCCGATTACACTTCCGGTCTCGCTCCCTGATATTTGTTTAATTATTAACATAATGTAACACACATTTCAAACCAGAGCTATCAACATGATTAGTTCTTGCATGCTCTATAGAAACTTGATTTCGGTTTCAAAATCAAAACTCATTCAATTGGTCAGAGAAATTTTCTTTATTAGATAAAAAACCATTTTTACATGTAACAGATTATGTGATGCCATGGTTCCACAGTGTAATGTCGGTTACGTATTTGTAAGTACAATGTATCTTAAATTGAGTGATACCAATTACCTTTTCTTCTTCAACAAGATGTATTTAATATCATTTATTCATTTCTCAAGACTTATTCAGTGCCGACTTATATCTTTTTCTGTCAAAGTTACCTCCCTTTAATAGTGATCCCGGGACAAATGCATGGTAACATTATTAAACGACCGACTTAGGTGGTGTGTTTGTGACTCAAACTTATATTTTGATATGATTGTGTCCCTTTTTATATATAAAACACAAAAACGCCTGTTTTTTTGTTTTTTGTTTTCTTTTTTTTGTTGTGAAAAACAGGCCCGAAATACACTAATTAATAGTTGAAATGCCTACTAGCAGATTCTGAAAATGTTCAGAATAATTTTGACATTTAACACCAAAAAAAAATGTTATACACGTTCAAACTCCTTTCTAAGTTTAATTTTCTGTCTTGGTATAATTTCATTTAGGAAAAAACAAAAAAAAATTCATTGACATTAATTGGAATAATGAAAATGATTATAACTCATGAAAAATCAACTTTATATGCATCTAAGCATTCCCTAGCATTAACATTGTAAATATGTTGAGACAACATTTGAGTTTTTGTATACATTAGAAAATCGATGGAACATTCTATTGTTAAAAGCCTATTTTCTTAATGGTTCATTTTTAGCTTTCATTTGATTGACTTTGATTTCCAGGAAGAGTAACTTCAAGTGAAGAGTCACTGAAAGTTTTAACTACGAAATATTAAAAAAAAAATAGTTTCCTTATGTAGTGTTGGTCGTTTTAAACATTGTAAGATAATATTTTCTGTCCTGATTCGTTTACAAATTACAACGCAGCAATTTTCGGTGTAAATAAGCATATAAACATTCGATCAGCTAACTTGTTAACGTCCATTTGTCCAAAATATCTTTGGTAAAGCATCACGGATAACTCAGAGAGGAAAGGAAAGCGACGTAATTAGATCAACTTAGAAAATATAATGGTTATTGAGATTTGATTTATTTGTTACCGAATGCGATATCATTATCATTCTGTTTTTCTTAAATTCTTTAACAAAGATTTTTTTCTTTTTCTCTCTCTATTAAAAGTAATTGCTGTAATGACCGAACAGGGAGGTTGTTAGTGGTAGTCTCCCTTATTACCTGCCTGCGGACAAAACGTGTATACATTTTTTCGGAAATTTGGCAGAGGATACATAACAGACACTATCAAATTCAATGGCATTTTTTTTTCGCCAACATTTTTATACTCTCAAAAAGGATCCGATGTAACTTAATATCACATCAATTAATCATTTCATCATTTGCTAAATTAGTTTATTAATCACTCATGTGTAACTGTTTCCTAAGCTTAAATGTGCCTTATCACACCAGTTTGTAGATTTGCAAATAGATTTTAAAAAAGAGGAAAAACCATAACCTCAAAAGACTGTGATGTATCGCTACTCTTCATTTTTAACTTAATGCATTCTTTACTCTGTATATACTTGTTTACTATGTATGTCATTGTTTACTCTGTATGTCGTTGTTTACTCTGTATGTCATTGTTTACTCTGTATGTCATTGTTTACTCTATGTCATTGTTTACTCTGTATGTCATTGTTTACTCTGTATGTTATTGTTTACTCTGTATATAATTGTTTACTGTGTATGTCTTTGTTAACTCTGTATGTCGTTGTTTACTCTGTATGTCATTGTTTACTCTGTATGTCATTGTTTACTCTATGTCATTGTTTACTCTGTATGTCATTGTTTACTCTGTATGTTATTGTTTACTCTGTATATAATTGTTTACTCTGTATATCATTGTTTACTCTGTATATAATTGTTTACTGTGCATGTCTTTGTTAACTCTGTATGTCATTGTTTACTCTGTATGTCGTTGTTTACTCTGTATGTCATTGTTTACTCTGTATATAATTGTTTACTGTGTATGTCTTTGTTAACTCTGTATGTCGTTGTTTACTCTATATGTCATTGTTTACTCTGTATGTCATTGTTTACTCTGTATGTTATTGTTTACTCTGTATATAATTGTTTACTGTGCATGTCTTTGTTAACTCTGTATGTCATTGTTTACTCTGTATGTCGTTGTTTACTCTGTATGTCATTTTTTACTCTGTATGTCATTGTTTACTCTGTATGTCATTGTTTACTCTGTATATAATTGTTTACTATGTATATACTTGTTTACTGTGTATGTCTTTGTTAACTCTGTATGTCATTGTTTACTCGGTATGTTATTGTTTACTCTGTATGTAACTGTTTACTCTGTATGTCATTGTTTACTCTACGTCATTGTTTACTCTGTATGTCATTGTTTACTCTGTATGTCATTGCTTACTCTGTATGTCATTGTTTACTCTACGTCATTGTTTACTCTGTATGTAATTGTTTACTCTACGTCATTGTTTACTCTGTATGTAATTGTTTACTCTGTATGTCATTGTTTACTCTGTATGTCATTGCTTACTCTGTATGTCATTGTTTACTCTACGTCATTGTTTACTCTGTATGTAATTGTTTACTCTGTATGTCATTGTTTACTCTACGTCATTGTTTACTCTGTATGTAATTGTTTACTCTGTATGTCATTGTTTACTATGTATATACTTGTTTACTCTGTATATCATAGTTTACTCTGTTATTGTTTACTCTATATGTAATTATTTACACTTACAACATTGTCTTAAGCGATTATGATGTACATTGGTCTTATTCAAACCTACAATTCTTCTTTCGTTTTCGTTTCACCTTTCGGTTTTCTTATTTGCTCCAGTTTTTTATTGATAGCATCTTCGTGTTCGGGATTATTTCTTGTTACAAATGTCGAGTCGAGATATTCCTCCAAGTCAAGAAACCCGTCACCGTCTTTGTCGGAAAGCCGGAAAATTTCTTCAACAAGCGTTTCCATTTCCTCCAGAGACGTTATCATTGGAAACATTTGAAGTCCCTGTGCAGCAATAGCCATGAACTGGAAAAAAAGGTGATGTCGTTAACATGTGTTCTTAGATCACTGGTTTTCGCTTTACTCTGAGGCTGACGGTTAGCGTACATATGAGTTATTATATGAAATCAATCAGCGTTTTCTATCGAAAGTAACAATAACATAGCTATTATACTCCCCTGTACTCAACTTTAAGATAGGGGAGAAATACCACAAGTCGCGTGTTATTCTACTTCACTGAAGCGATTTTATAAAAAATATCCAGTGACTTAGCCAATGTGATGTACCCGGTAGCGTTGGTTGCCAATCAGAAATCAGTTGTGATGTCCTAATATGGACAATTTCATAACGTCAGGACTTTAAAATTTCTGCCTCGGTTTCATTTTTCCTCTTATTTGATATCAAAATCTGTCAAAATGCATCTTTTCTGAACCATTACACAAACATTATCCAAAATTCACAGATTCGAAAAAAACAGAAAATTCGTAGTCTCATTTCGGAATGTCGCAAACATTAATATGACATTGACGGATGGTCCCGTAGCGCATTACTCGCTTTTCACCTAGTCGTCCGTTGTTCGATTCCCGGAACGGACGCTAAAAGGTATGAGGTCACCTGCCCGACCAAGCGGGTTTTTCCCCGGACACTCCAGTTTCCTCCCACAGAGAGACCGCTCGCACGCTTCGCAATCGGTGTAACACAGATAAAGTTTATATTTATATATAACGTGACCTTAGATAATCAGATCGAAAAATACCACGATATGAAATGATTAAAGAAACCCGGATGATACTTAACGGGAAAATACCGAAAAGTGTGCCGATGTTGAAAACAATGACAGTGCCATATGCCCATTATATGTAAGTACCTGCGCCACTGACAATTTTCCTGATTTGTCTGTGTTCAGTAAGTTAAACACCATCACGTGATCAGGACTGTCCTGGATGTCTTGAAGCTCCACAACAAATTCTAATGTGTCGTTGGCAGATACTTCTACACCTAAAATGAATAAATAATTACAAATATACACATATTGAAGTACATATTTACATTTAGCTTTCTCGCTGTTATCTGTTTTGTCTTTCGCACATTTTTCTCTATGAAATATATTTTTGGAGCGAAAACGTAAAACGATGACATGAAAAATACACTATAAATTCTTCACCAGCCCGACGGGGAATTTCAGGTCTCTTCAACCCCAATTTGAAATTTAAAAAAAATGAAAGTAGAAAAGAATGTAAATATTTTTTTTTTTTAAAAAAATATGATTTCAAAAGAATTTTGTGAACAAAATATCGTTGAGTTGTTGATATTTAACGAGTAAGGTTATCTACCGCTTTTTGTGGTGAAGTTTTGCCGTTCACCCCCGCCTGGTATAATTATTTTCCTGGTCTCTCCAGCACACATATTATCCAGAGCTTTATCCATCTGGTACTCGAATTGTCCCGCATGGTGCTGGAATACGTACGGCTGCTTCTGCTTAAAGCTGTGCATAACAATTGATAATGAATATCTTTTGAAAAAAATACAGACAGCTCACATTCTCACAATTCAGACAAAGTGTTCAGGACTATTAGACCATGTATTTATAACAAAACACAAATCAAACGATTGCCTACTACCTGACAACTCTGACGTATCTTTTCAGAATGGCTGGCTTCATAAACGCGATTTTCAGTAACACGGTAACAATAAAGACTGAACGATATCAGTATTGATGTCCTGTTGTATTTTATATCACCTCAATCACTATATGAATATATTTGTAACCTTCGCTTAGTTATCATGTACTAAATTCTGGCTGTACAACGGCTAAGCTGATTGATACAATACTTAAAATATTGCGCACGGCAAGTGTAGTGTTTACTTCTCGTTTTGGCCGAGATTACAAACTCGCGAATGTTATTACTGCTTGTTTTGAAGAAAAAAAATAATCTAAATCCCAAGACTTATATCCGTTTTCAATTATTGCTCCGCCTTTCCAGAACACCCTGTCGCACCATTTACCAGAAAGTGTCTACGTGTCAGATAACAAACGAGTGAAAGTATAAAGACAGAGAATTCAAAAGATTTTACGAATAAATCCATTTATAAAGTGAAGATTAAGTCTAGCCATCGAAACTACCCAATTTGTCTTTCGTCGTGTAGTGTTAAAATGATTGAGGGAAGGTACCTATATAATCTGTTTCTGACAGATGAATGATTAAACATCACAAATAAAACAGTCCACAACCATTTCCGTTTGAAGACTATTTTCTGATATTAGGTTCTATAGATAATGTATTGCTATGACAACAAGTGAGGGATCTATTACCAACCGTAGAAGACTGTTTTAAAATATGTTTTATACTTTCGATTTACTGTGAATAGTTAATTCAGATTAAATCTTAGAAATATGAACTGATGATGAACATTTACAAAGAGATAATATATGTTATGCTGTATACTGATTTGTTTACAATGATTAATCTAAATAGTATAATCCAAAAATTAAATGGTGGACACATCCGTTCATCTGATCATATTAACACTGATTTAGACAAGTGATAAATACATCGTCTAGATCATATTTGTGTCTGCGCTCACTACTGGCAAAATAAAAACAAGAATATGAAAGTATGATGATCAGGAAATCAGATAACAGGTACCAAGAAAAGTAAAACAATTTTTAAAAAATTAAGAAAATTTGAGCTGCGCAATTGATTTATTTTTCCACGCCAGACTGGAACCTGTTTATAAAAGTCCGTGAGTATTACTTACTTTGAATCAAAAACTTTCCCGGTGGAATGGATTTTGCCTTCCATCTTCACCAACATAATGTCTCCTGCTTTTAATTTCCGGAGACAAAATTTCGGTTTCTTAATGACTTCCACTTTCAGTTCTTCCGGTTCCGATGAATCTTCGGCCACGGTGGAAACCGGAAACAATGTCCCAAGTACCACTACAGTTGCAATGAACGAAATACAAAAGGTGAAATGCACCATGGTGGAAAAACTAAAGCTGGTTTAAGAAACGTGTCCTAATATAACTTGAAGCAACATTCAAGAATTCGTGTTACGCCTTTGGAGTGTGCTTTACCGAGGTGCTGAGTGTAAATGACAGTTTGTCTAAATCATGGCAGGATAGGTAAATACTAACCACATCCTTTAGGGAACACGTGCATCTTAAATAAGACTAACACGTTTCCTTGGCTTTTTGGGGGCCCTTCATTGGGGGCATTCATAGAGTTTCAAACACCCGCTCAGTTTATTTATAAACTGTCATAAACAGACACATGTTAATCCGAGAAATAAAAAAAAAGTTTTATACCAAATGCTCTAAAGATATACACACATTATAAGCCAACATGATGCTTTTGTAACACATGACTTGAAAAGAATTGCAGGGTTTTTGTCAAAGACGAACACCTTTTGTTTGTACAAGAAAAACAAGAATTACACTGAAGCAGTTGTCGAAAATCTATTCTCAGATGATATCTAATTAATGTGTGTTTTAATGGCAGTTTGATCACAATGTTGATTTCAATCAAAATTAAAATATAAGTTTCCCTTGTAGGTACCCATTATAAACATTTACCTATTTGCGTTTGAACGCCGATCGTTCCATCAAACAGTCAATAACCGGACGGGACGATTTGTGGCTTTACACTGAAAACTCAGACACGTCAACAAACGTCCAGTAATATACAGGGTACGTCGGGGCATTTTCTTAACATCAGAATAAATTATATTTCAAAACGCTCACATTTTCACCTATGATTTATCTCATACAATTAAGTGGTGGTTAGTGAGTAATGGATTACTTGCAGTGGTATAGTTCTAAAGAAGAAGGAAGAAGATGTGTTTTTTTTATGCTGCAGCCAATTTTTATAAACTATATCTCAAGCCTTTTTTTCGATTCGCGGTATCTCTTCAGCTGTCTCGTGTGAGAGTTTGTTCGATTCGCGGTATCTCTTCAGCTGTCTCGTGTGATAGTTTGTTCAATTCGCGGTATTTCTTCAGCTGTCTCGTGTGAGAGTTTGTTCAATTCGCGGTATCTCTTCAGCTGTCTCGTCTGAAAGTTTGTTCGATTCGCGGTATCTCTTCAGCTGTCTCGTGTGAGAGCTTGTTCGATTCGCGGTATCTCTTCAGCTGTCTCGTGTGAGAGTTTGTTCAATTCGCGGTATTTCTTCAGCTGTCTCGTGTGAGAGTTTGTTCAATTCACGGTATCTCTTCAGCTGTCTCGTCTGAAAGTTTGTTCGATTCGCGGTATCTCTTCAGCTGTCTCGTGTGAGAGCTTGTTCGATTCGCGGTATCTCTTCAGCTGTCTCGTCTGAAAGTTTGTTCGATTCGCGGTATCTCTTCAGCTGTCTCGTGTGAGAGCTTGTTCGATTCGCGGTATCTCTTCAGCTGTCTCGTTTGAAAGTTTGTTCGATTCGCGGTATCTCTTCAGCTGTCTCGTGTGAGAGTTTGTTCGATTCGCGGTATCTCTTCAGCTGTCTCGTGTGAGAGTTTGTTCGATTCGCGGTATCTCTTCAGCTGTCTCGTGTGAGAGTTTGTTCGATTCGCGGTATCTCTTCAGCTGTCTCGTGTGAGAGTTTGTTCGATTCGCGGTATCTCTTCAGCTGTCTCGTGTGAGAGTTTGTTTGATTCGCGGTATCTCTTCAGCTGTCTCGTGTGAGAGTTTGTTTGATTCGCGGTATCTCTTCAGCTGTCTCGTGTGAGAGTTTGTTTGATTCGCGGTATCTCTTCAGCTGTCTTGTGTGAGAGCTTGTTCGATTCGCGGTATCTCTTCAGCTGTCTCGTGTGAGAGTTTGTTTGATTCGCGGTATCTCTTCAGCAGTCTCGTGTGAAAGTTTGTTTGATTCGCGGTATATCTTCAGCTGTCTCGTGTGAAAGTTTGTTTGATTCGCGGTATCTCTTCAGCTGTCTCGTGTGAGAGTTTGTTTGATTCGCGGTATCTCTTCAGCTGTCTCGTGTGAGAGTTTGTTTGATTCGCGGTATCTCTTCAGCTGTCTCGTGTGAGAGTTTGTTCGATTCGCGGTATCTCTTCAGCTGTCTCGTGTGAGAGCTTGTTCGATTCGCGGTATCTCTTCAGCTGTCTCGTGTGAGAGTTTGTTTGATTCGCGGTATCTCTTCAGCTGTCTCGTGTGAGAGTTTGTTCGATTCGCGGTATCTCTTCAGCTTTCTCGTGTGAGAGCTTGTTCGATTCGCGGTATCTCTTCAGCTGTCTCGTGTGAGAGTTTGTTCGATTCGCGGTATCTCTTCAGCTGTCTCGTGTGAGAGTTTGTTCGATTCGCGGTATCTCTTCAGCTGTCTCGTGTGAGAGTTTGTTCGATTCGCGGTATCTCTTCAGCTGTCTCGTGTGAGAGTTTGTTCGATTCGCGGTATCTCTTCAGCTGTCTCGTGTGAGAGTTTGTTCGATTCGCGGTATCTCTTCAGCTGTCTCGTGTGAGAGTTTGTTCCGTATCATGTTGCCAAGTCAGTATTATGATAATGTTTTATAGGAGAGCTCAGATGGTAATACTTATGTACGGAATACTTGTAATGTTGGTTGTAAAAAAATAAAGAAAATACCGATTCGTCAACAGAAATTTAATTCAAACCTAATTCCATGAAGCAACGGCAACATATTAACTAAAGAAAGATTTACACAGAAGATCACTTAGAATTAGAAGACTGAAAGCCTTCTGCTTTATAGACGACACCCATCAGGTAAATCTTGGTCAATCAAAGTCAGTAATGTCACGTTCCCAAACGAGAACAGGTAAACAACAACGAAATTACAAGACATACTAACTAGCATTAATAATGTCAAACTTTATACCGCACAAGTAACTTCAGAGGTAAGCTCCACGTTTTATGAAACCAGCCTCTTATGTATACAAAATGATGACACTGTTGTTCTTCACGAGGAGTTCTGCTATTTTCGCAATTTTAACATGTTAACTCCTGATCTCCAGATAATAATTAGGTCAAACTTATGCCATTAATATCACGGAAAACGGAAACAATGGAAGGCTATATAAACGATACAGAGGACATTCGAGAAAAAAGGCTGTAGGCGTTCCCATAGTTTGGTCCACAAAACAGGTGGAGTATCTGAAGTGTGGACACAAGATTTCAAGATGTGGCAGATGAAAGCTTAATAGGCACAGCGTTTTTAACAAGCTCTAAATAAGGAGGGGAGGAAAATAAACATATACTAAAAAGTTTCATTTATCTTATAAAAAGTCATGGTTGTTTCTTTAATAATATCTGACATTGTGGGCAACTGTATATGGCAATATCTAAATAAGGACGCATCTAGTAAACACTGGTTCCCGTTTTTATTGTAAAGAAAGTTTTTTTCTCGTTTTAGGGGAAGCTTAACTTTCTTCTTATTTTCGCACGGTGTCATCATATGTATATTTCATAAATAAATCTTAAATTATCTTCATCATTTTTTTTATATAAGATATATATATCATAATTTTTACAATCGAAACTTCGTTATCTGAACTGCCTATGATCGTTTTCAAAGTATAAAGAACTTGTATCCTCTAAGAACTTAAAAGTAAAAAACACTGGTAAAACGAAATCAAAACTTTTGTATACAATTCCATGACCATAAGTCGATATGCTGTTGTAAATATTCGAAAATTTCTGGGCTGCGCCAGATTTCAAAATATACTTCTTATCTTTTGTACTAAGCAAATAGGTTTGCTGTAATATCATATTTATTGAACAGGTCAAAGTTGTACGTAATTCGAAAGCTTGGGTATATACACGTGTCCTTACACCTAAATGTCACCTGAATATCTATGTACACGCGTAGATTGTACAAGTACTCCCATCAGCGCTGTCTTCCGCCTTCCGGCATTTTACTCCCTGGAGGAGAAATATGACATGAAGTTCTAAAACTGCCGAAGCGCAGCAGGAAGTTGCCGGAAATCTCTTGTGATGTGTGTTGTTATTTCTGGATAATGTGACGTCAGAACTTATGCAAATTTATCTCTACATACACACCTATATTTCGTCTCCCGAAAAAAGGAATTATATTCGTAGGATATTGCGAAAACGTACCTGTGATCTTAACACCATAACCAGCACAAGTCCGATGAAACATTAACGCTTTGGTTTACATTGAAACATGTCAGATGTCCCAACAGAGTCTGTCTTAGTTAACTCGTAACATTTATTGTTTAAACATTTCTATAATTTATTTGATTGCAAACCAGATTCAAGATGAATGCCGGAAAACTCCTTATATTACTTCTTTTCATAATGTTGGTTATGTGGTATACTGCAATCTGGTCTTTAGTTCTTAAAGTGCGAGGAGACACTGATATTGCTGATTTCACCGTGGAAACCATTCAACATAACGACAATTGTCTACAAAAATCGAAAACAGATGATAGACTTCTGGTTCATTACGTTATGAAAGTCTACGGAACCGACAGCGTCATTGAGTCAAGGTGTGTATTTTGCTTGTTCTTCTATCACATAAGTTATTGTCGTGGTTTTGAATTTGCATGTATAATAGCACAAAATATGTAGTTTCTTATAAACAGTCATAATGACGAGTCAAATTGACGCATTCAATATCAATATCAAAACCAGTCATGAGGAATAGAATAACTAAATCGTTAAACCTGAGAATTATTTTGCAAATCAAGAACATTTCTATATATCAGTCTTATTTACGAATTTCCAATGGCACCTCCGTTATCATTGACAATCGCTGATAATTTCTGAAGAAATCACACCTGTTTCATCAATACCTTATTTCAGAAGATACTACTATCAGGCTATAACTTTACTTTTCTTCTGTGCGCACTGTTCTGCTTAATGTGGCCACATACATTTTACATTTGCACCGATATTGAATTTTGTTTAATACCGGAAATCCGATAATTTGTAGAACTTATCAACATTTTTTTGGGGAACGTAGATTAACAATAATGTTACTTATCCCCATTTTTACTTTAAATAATTTATTAGGACGAGTGAGGACTCTCCATTTATCGTTCACCTTGGCCAATTTGTTGACATTCCAACCCTGGAACGAGCTTTGTATGACATGTGTGAACAGGAGTCAAGGTCGTTGATAGTTCCCCCGTCACTAGGATACGGACTTAAAGATAGTCACACCAAATATGGTAAGTGTTCTATTTAATAAATTCTCTCCTATGACACGTCTGAAGTTAGACATAGTCAAATAATTGATGATCAAACATACTGGACTCACAAAATTGCAGTTATGAATTTCCAATTCCTGGTAGACATATTAATGCATTAACACAATGCGCTGTGACGTCAAGATATCTGTTTTTGGCGATTTAGAGAAAAAAATTTGTGTATGGATTAATGACGGCGAGATTGTGCTGTTTGAATTCAATATTACTAAGCAAATAAGTGTTCGTAAATCATGTAATGATTTGTGTCAGATTTAGAAACCAACATAATGAGTGATCGTTCTCGGAAAGTGAATTTGTTTTCAGGGTTTTTCTCCATGTGAACAATCAGTATGTGACATTTTGGCCAGTTTCCATGTACATATTGGTGACTATCTCACTGAACAACATAGGGGAGGCATGCCATTCAGAGAAATAAGGGTAAAGCGTCCTGACAAATGACACAATCACGTCAGCACAGACCATTATTGGTTGTCATTGTAATTGATACATATGCGAGATATAAGTCAACCAGTGTTGATATTAATCTGAGAAATAACACAGAATTCACTGAGCGTTGCTTTGAGTAGAGCTGTGGTTTATTACAATAACACAACAAAGGAGAAGTTGAGCCATCTCTTTGCTAAAGATATAGCGTTTCTTACGTCGTTACCTTATTGGATGGTTGGTTGGGGTTTATGGAAGGTCTACTATGACGTAACATAACAAAACTATCAAATATTGTTTTTACAGGTAACTTGGTACCCGGGAACTCTACATTACAGTTTGTGGTCACCTTGGTAAAAATATTTACTAGAGAAGAAACTGACCCCAAACAAGACACAACCGACCAGGTAAAGTTATCAGAAGACAATTTAGAGAATAAAGACAGAGAAACAACAGAAAGCAATGGCCGGGAGACGGATCTTAAACAAGGAACAGCTCAGAATGAGGCAGATGCTACAAAACAAAAAGACAAACAAATTGTTGGAAATGTAAGTTGATGTGTGGTTCTGAATCCTGAATTAAAATTTTGTCGAAAACTTTTATGAAACTAATCTGTAAACCACGTTAATTTTCTTATATATATATGTAATGCCCGAAGTAATACTAAGTGGCACTTTCTTCAATATTTTACACAAAATAAAAATCTTATCGGGTAAGTATATCACATAATGTTAGGCTCTGGTCATATCACAGCTTTGTTCATCGCATATTAATAATGTATAAGAAATATGATTTAATGAATAATAAACAGTAATGTGATATTGCTAAACTTTTGACGGTTTTTGTACCAATCTTTGAATCTCATATTACATTTTTCCTGAAATCAGCAGGTTGGAGTTTGTGAAAGTTTAATCAACCGTCCATTCAGGCCTTGTTCGCACTGTTCGGCCAGTGAAATAATTATGTTGTGTTACATGCTTAAAGGTAACCAATGATTGCCTTTTCCTATTCCACAGGTGATACATGATGCCGTGAAAGCGGTTTTCACAAGTAAAAGCGGAGAAGGACTTGCCGGAATGGCCAAACAGATGTTAAGTGGAGTGATGGGCGGCGGCGGCGGCGGTGGCGGTGGAGGGGGAGGGGGCAACGGTATGGCAGCGATGATGGGTCAACTAGCGGGGGCCATGGGCGGAGGCCAAGGGATGGAAGGACTAATGGGCAAGCTAGCTGGAGGTATGGGTAATGTTGGGGAAGGAGGAATGGATAGTATACTAGGTAAACTCAGTGATATGATGGGACAGGACGCAGACGGCAAAGATGGCCTAGCGGCCATGATGAAACAGCTCGGAGGAGAAGGCGGTGGGTTAGCTGGTTTGATGGGACAACTAGGCGGATCAGGATCGGGCGGGCTGTCAATAAATGGTATCAACGACGCACTGGCAAAGATGGTTAAAAAGAATAAGGAAAGAAGAAATAGGAGAAAAACCGAATTATGAGACAGCATAATTTAATGCAACATAGTTATAACGACATACTGTATACGAGGAAATATTCGCCCTATTTTCGCCCTCACATCAAACATCTGTCTCTGCCCAGTGTTAACTTCGCCCTAGAAGCATTATAACATATAATTCAGCTTTAACTATAAAAGACTAAGTGAAATATTCCCGAATACAGTATTTCCTTGAGATGTTACGGAGTGTAAGTCGATATTTATCGCGTTTTCACGTTATCGCGTGGTTCATACCGGCATGGTGATATTTCTTCCTCACAACTCACGTAGTTGTTTTTACGTTACGTATACGATATTTGTTTCCGAAAATAGGAAGATGAGACATTTGGATATATACCCTGTTGTAAAGTGTTCAGGGTAATTGATGAGTCTAGATTCCAGATATATACCCTGTTGTAAAGTGTTCATGGTAATTGACGAGTCTAGATTCCAGCCGATTCCCGAATAGCAACATACACATCCGTGTATATCTACATAATACAAAATTACTTTTGAAACAATCGATAAAAATCTGTTTTAATTCTTGTTCAGATTCTATTGATTTAAGTACAAATGTACATGATTGTTATATCTATGTAGAATACTGAATGTTTTATAGGCCTTTCACTAATTAGTTGCACATATGTACACGTACGAAGTCCAATGTACAACAAATATTGAAGATCTATGTTTTAACTAGAGTTTGGTTTCATTTGATTCAAGTACAAAACGTATGAGATAAGTATGACTTTGAATAGTTGATTACTTCCTGTGCCAGAATATAATATTTTACTGTAAGTGACTGGTACTCGCATGTTTGTATTATTTGTGCAAGGTATGTTCACGCCTCACGACTTTCATTTCAAGGTAATAAGCAAAATCAAACGTGTTGTGTTGGTGAATAATATTCTGTTTCTCAGGAAGATTTACTGTCTACTTTAGCACTGATCTGTCAACCCACGAGAATTACTAGGTTTAATATTTATATAATGTCCGACTTTATTCAAATTGAAGTACCAACATTGTGTCTGTATGTTTTGCCATTTTGATTATTAAATAAATAAATCTGTTCATTCAGATTTCTGATTTTGTGATGATGTTTGTAGCTGCGAATTCCTTTTTTCTGTACTTTTCCCGCCCCTTCTACCAACAAATTTAATATCGTACATCAGAAAGTTTTGTATGATAGCGCTGCTCTGACGAACATTTTTTGTCCGGAATGTGTTTTTTAATTATTTTTTTTCACATTCATGAGATGTAAGAGGGCCGAGTATTACTGTACATTATTTTAATATTTTGATGTTGTATGATTTCTATACGAATCAAACCCGGATGTACGATATAACAGAAATTATCTTACCCAGAAGGCATTTACGGGTGTCCAAGTGATGGATTGATGTACAGGCCGAATCGGTCACGTGACTATACAGACTGTGACATCCCATTCAGGAAGAAATAACGTCAGTTATGATACAAAATGTTCCTGTATTGGATATATAAGATATAAAGATATACACTCACACGTGTTACAATATAGGTATATAGAGATTTTGATGGCTGCACGTAAACCATTTTTATATCAGGCTGGTAGGCAATATTTTGACTGATTCCATAGTACACCCGCAAACGTTAATACACGTTTGTTTATCGTTTTACTACGTGTCGACATGATGTCCTGCAGATGAGAGAGCAAAGTCCTTGTTTAGTAGATAGAGTCATGGATGATCAAACCAGATTCACCCTGTTTGATTCATGTCGTTGAATACTGTTTTCATTCAAACACATCAAATTATTCTTCAAGACAAAGCTTTCTTTAAATCTCTCTTGGAATAAATTTATTTTCACTGCAAATGCTCTAAATAGATTGATCAAAATGAGTAAAAATTGAACATCAACACTCTTAAAATACTCTAATGGCTATTTCTTCCCCAGTTGTTCCTTAACCTTAACGCAATTCACTTATGGGTAATTGATATATTAACTGACTTGATTAGATATATAAAGAATAATTGACGTTAAACATCCAAACTTTCCAGCCAATGAACTTATCACATCCATGTTCTATATGTTACAGAATGTTCTTTATTTCTTTATTATTAGCGATGACATTGCATTAAGCTGGGTGGAATGTCTGATATTTATCATAAGTGGCGAGAGCGAGTGTAAGATAATCTTTCAACTCACGAGAAGTAAGACATCATCACTTATAAATAATGTATAAGGAATATGATTTATCTCCTGAATAATAAACAATAATGTGATATTGCTAGACTTTTGGCAGTTTTATAAACCAATCTTTGAATCTCATACTGCATTTTTGTCTAATATCAACGGACTGGAGTTTGTGAGAGTTTAAAGTTTATTCATCATGAAACAAGGAATATTTTTTTTTTTTTTACATTTTTTTTACGTCTTTCAGAGATATCAGTTTGAATTTACAACTGTGTCTTTATCTGATATAGGTTTTCTGGTAACATTACTCTAACGGATACATGGTTTTACATCTTATACAAGTCTTCAAATAATTTAACGTAGAGTAAATACAACCTATAAAACACTCAAATGATAATATTCACTTTTACCATGCCCAATACGTTTCATCAAACAGGAAGTTATCTACGATGTGCCATATCAAACGACTATCTACATTATGTATACCAGGGTTGTTTGCAATATAATCTGAGAAAACTGAATCTTTTCTTTCACTGTGACAAACAATTCAGGATTAATAATTAATAATTCATTAAGTTTAATGATATAAAGAGATAAAAGTATTTATCTATCTGTACACAAGGTATGATATTTATATATCAATAAGTAAATAAGATAGAATTACATATCTTAATGAGCTTTTGTCTGATTATACAACAAACACATTGAAGAGTATGAACACGTCTGCTTACTCATGTAGTGTGCCCGTTGAGTGTACAAAATCAAAATGTGTTAAACTAGTTAAGTTGATATAAGGCAATGCCATGATAACAATCTTTATAGTTCATAGGGCAAAAGTTCGTGAATATTTACACAATTTTTCACCTTTTCTTAAATATAAAATATTTCTACACAAAAAACATGTAAAGATCTATAAAGCATTACATCACTGTCTATCAGACATTAAAATGTTGTCCACACCGGGATTGTACTCATTAGGAACACTTCTTGGTTTTTCTTAAACCAGCGCACTTACCATTAATAGTTCTCAATATACTTAATGTCATCCAAATAATATTCAAAATATTCCTAAAATCAATTGGAATAGATGCATTTCTCAGGAGCTCATTGAGCGGATTTCTGTGTTAAATTTATGTACAATATATCTGTTTTCCATAATAATGTCAATCTCGAAAATAAAGAAAATCTCTCAAAAATATAACCATTACAGTAATAATTCTTTCTAGGTCAGAGAATCCAAAGCGGCATGATACAATCATTAGAACGCTGGAGTAGCCAAATGAACGATGTCGACTTTCGAACAAATAAATCACATTTTACATAATTATACATCACAACTAAAGCTCTAACAAGGCATTACGATTATTTTCAGAATTTGTCCACAGATGAAAATATTGAAGTTTGTGGTTAATGATTTCATTCTGTCTATCGCTTATACACGTATTGAATGTTATGATACCAAAACAAATATCAGATCTGTTTACAAATATATGCAATGATCGTCACCAAAGTGTCTTATTTGTGATCAAATATTAGATATATCAACTTATGTTTGGTAAACGTAAAAATCCCAAAGTCAAGTTGAAAACTAGATCTTACAACTTCGTTGAATCTCCTACCACATTTTTCAAATTGGCGCTGCAGTTGCTATTATAGTTTTCACTTCTGTGACATGATCCTCGTTTCTGGCTCATGAAAATCAGGAAAGGGTGTAGCAGGGAGATAACTGACAGACACAACAGGAAAATGTTTACCTGAAAGAAAAATGTCCGAGAATAATCCTAACTACACATTAAAAGCCCTCTATAATCAGATGAACAGGAGTATTGTGATACATGCTCGGATTGTTCAGTTATGTATATACAATGATATCGAAATCCTCACAGTTGTATCAAGCTAATGTCCTCTTCTGCTGCGGTTATAATTGATATATATATAAAGGGTATTCATTAATTTTCCTCAGCGTATGATCAAACACGTGATTTCGGAACATTCTAAACGTGTTGTATAACTGTGTCTAATCATGTAAAAGGATTATCTGAAACTTTTGAGTATGTTAAAAACATTTACAATGAGGTCCAGTTTTAGGATCAACAAAAACTCATTTGGTGTTAAGAAGATAACAACTTTGATTGAATAAACTATATTCATCCTTTTTCACAAACAGTGGAATTTTGCCGAAGACCCGGGACATCACTTCTTTTTTCACGTGGTGAATTTTTTTCACTGCCTTCATGGGTACTTTTTATCCACACATTCATATATCCTCGAACGGTTGAATTAATTGAATTAGGTGTTTTATTGAGCTGTATTTAGTCGCGAAATTAAGTATTTATTGAAAAACCACGAAAATTTATGACTTGACATTAGATAAAATCGAGTTTCATATCTTACGTGTGTCATTGCGTTGTCATATCGTCTAGTCCATATAAACAAGGCGTACTGTGTCATAGAAAGGACACCAGAAACGGAGATAACGAGGCCAAACAGTACACTCATGAATTTCTTTGGAAACCTGAAACAAATCCGATAATAGTTACCTCATCACAACGACAATTATATATGACGTACATCATACTCAGACTTAGCACAGTTACCATGTCCTACATATATCTAAGTTCATTGTTAAAGTTTAACACGTAACTGTAATAATGAATTAGGTACCTACAGGAATATGCTATTCAAGACGATCGCCATAAAATGCAGTTCGAGAATTTGAATGCATTTCGTGGGGATAACACTTGAATTACTATGTTTTATATTAATAATAATGGCCTGTAGCACATTTTACATCCTTATTTTACCTGTATAAGTATCCTGTTAGTTTTTAATTCATTTTATATAAAGGTTATTTTCAAGGGGTGGTATATTTCACTATTTCTGAAGTTAGAGTAAAATCCCAAAAATAAAATCTCCCGAAAAGATATCAGTTAACAGAGACAGTCACAATCGTGATTTCCACGTGCTTCACGCTTTTTTATATATAATAATCTGCATTACTTTACACTATTAAGACGTCTAAATCGAACAAGGTGACGTTGCTTTAAAGTGTGCATATGATGGAAGCCTACATGTCCACATCAAATACTACACGTATATTTTTTCCGCGAATAAAGTTGACGTAATGCAAGATACTTGAGATGCTAACCATTTTATCTGTATATGTATATACAGGTATATGTAAAATACACAGCTATGTCACTCACGAGGTTATAACGAAGTCCATGTTACAACTGAAAACGAAGGATCGGAAAAATGTCAAGACGACGAAATCAACGTAGAGAACTGTTCCTGAGGACGAAAAGGAAAGTGATGATAACAGTATGCCCAAGCATGACGTCACTGTTAGAGGAATAACTGTCTTCATCGTTCCTGAAAAGTAAATAATTTGTTAAATATTAAAGACTTCTACCATCGCAGAATGAAGTCTCTTTGTAAATACTGCCAATTAATACTTACACGTACATATACGTATAAGTATATAGAAATGTATACCCCAAATTAAATTTCCAAAGTTGTGATTACGTTTATGCTCAATTAAAAGGAAATCTATTGTTTGCTTGTGAAACTGTGTAACAGGCAGGGAAAGTATTATCTTGGAGTAAAAATTACCAATCCGACTGACTTTTCTGTTCTTTTTTGAGACATTTGAGTCGCCTCTTTGCCTTCAAACTTTAGGCCCACAGGATTAATGAAGATTTCAAGAAGGACGAAACAGCTGTATGATTCCGTTTAATTCATGGCTTTTCTCTACTGTCTCTTACTATAAATATATATTAAAGGTACTATTCACTTGTGTGTCTTTTGTACAATCTTTGGAAACTCGATGATACTAGACCAGGAGTATCCCAAGGTTCAATTATATGTTCCGTTTTTGTTCCTGTTATGTATTTGTATTTACCTGTAAACCACTTGTTCTGTATCTCGAACACCTGTCCAGCAATGAAGGATGAAATCATCCCTCCCAACATTGTGTACGTCATGACGTCAGTCAGGTAGCTTACTTAGAACAGAAAATCATCAACCAGCATTATATTAATTCAGCATCATTTGATAAATTTAACAAAGTAATCAAACAGTTTCCACATCAATGATTAGAAAATCTTAATCGATTTGTAAAAATGTTAAATTTGCTGTTTTTAAACTTCGATGGTCAGCTCATGCGTTTTCGAGCTCCGAATCTAGGCATGACATTCTAATAATATCAAACACGATCAGAAAACAGAAAATCATTATTCCAGAGATAACATATCACATACAATGTACAATGTGTGGGCGAAAATGAACGCATGCAGGCTATAGGCATGCTGAAGACGGGAACATTTTAAAAATAATTTGACAAGACAGTTTGAAGTGCACATTAGTCGGATAAACGCTTTGTGGAGGCGTTTCAGATGAACACAGTGCGGGACAACACATGAACAAGACGTCCACATGAAGCGTCTCGTCGGCAGCTTTCCGTTCCAGATCTTTTTTTATCATTGACCACAAGATTTTTTCAGGACGTAGACGAATTAGCTTCAGAAGCGTCCGAAACAGATTGCGAAAGGCCAGCATTCGTAACGTCTCGCTTCAACGGCACATAGTTGCGCGCTGAGCATTGTTGAGGTGGCATCTGCGACCACCAACAGGAACCTGTTTGAAGTGCTATCCCAAGACGAGTCCAGATTTCACCTTAATTGTAGTGAAGGCCCTGTTCACATGTACTGTTGGCCGTGGAGAACATTATAGTGACGTTAGTGTAATTCAGCGTCAACAGTTAGATGGAGGAAGCATTAAGTTCTGGTGAGGCATCACACACTTCTGATTATAGTGGATGATAACATGACCGATTAGCGCTACGGTGACGAAATATTACGTGTTGTGGGGACATATCTAGAGCAGCAGAACGTCACCGTTCTACTTTGGTCTGTTTTGTCGTAAGATTTGCCTCCTATCGATTATTTTTGGATTGAAAAGATCGACGTCTGCGTCAGGAGCCAAACCTTCCTACAACATTAGAATATTACGTCGCACATTGTCTTGAGTGTGACAGAACATTCTCCACGCATTTCTCTGTAATATGTGGAGTACGAATGAAGGCCATCGGTATTAAATCCCGAATGACCGATTGTCAATATGAAGATAATGCAATTTAATGGAAGCTTTGGCACAAAGTGTAGCTAGCATACAATTAATGTGTAAGTAGCATACAATTTATTTAATGCATTGATGAATCAAACAGTTTAAATACATTTCCTATTTCTCCATTTTGTGTACATGTATATTTATTCTCTGTGTAATGATGTCCAATCCATTTCACTCCCTGGGAAGTGAGGCTATGGTCTCATGATTCATCCCTTCTCAGACAATATATTCATTCAAGTGTGCTGTTCTTACCGTAGGGATTCGGAATGTTTAATTTTTATCCTTCCGTATTTATGTTTTCTATGTAAATGATATTGCTTGTTTCGTCCCGTGAACAGTCGTGGTCAATCTTATCAAATTGCATTTAAACAAATATTCATCACAGTTTTCGAGAAATTGTATTTTTAGAAATATATATTGTCATTTTTGGTTTTGCCGTGACCGATAATATGTGTATAAAGAAAATGTCCCAAAGTTAAGAGCTGGGAGTCCTGAAATGAAAAACATCAGAAACAAACCAACCTGGTTTCTTAACCACTCGATGTGAAAACACACCGTTAACAAAAAAAGAAAAGAAAAAAGAAAAAAAACCTTGACTTGAAAGCTGATAAAAGTAGGCTGAAATGTAAACTGATGGCAAAATGTACGGATACACACGCTTTAGCTAACTGATCTCATTTTCTATTCACAATAGTCATTGTCATCAACATAATTTTCTGGTGACATAATCTGCCTGTTAGCGAGTGAATTCGACCGTGTAATACTTATGCATACTTTACTAGCGTACTTTACACTGGCGCGTTTTTCATTTACTGCAACAGTCAAAAATAGATTGTGATTTTATTATATGGTCACTGATATGAATTGAGAATATCGCATAAAGATATTTTTTCTGTTTGCTTTTGTCCTCAACATTTTGACGTTGAAACCTGAAGTATCTGATGAAAGTAAATGAACTTTTATATATGTTCTGATTTTTTTCGATTTTTGTCTCATTTAGACTCAAATATCCTTTATACTGATAATACGTATATCTGATTCCATGTTCCATTATATATGTTTTGGCTTCACACGAATATTATATATACACATGCCTAAGATGGATTTTGCAAACTTTTATAGAGAATAAAGATTGAAAGAAATATATCGGTTACGCTGTCGTCGAAGTATGTCATACATTTATCGACCTGATTTTAGGCGAATACGATGATTCATCAACATGAGAAAATTAAATTTTCTGAGGCATCAGGTCGAGGGAAATATTAGTTTCTGAGGTTTATATATCATCCTATTCACCTTAATACAGGTTGATAACTGTCTTATTATAACACATTTCCCCTTTTTTTCACTTCACAAAATGACAATTTCTTGTCATTTGAGAGAGCGGACGTATAAAACATTGTGAAGTTAAACTTCACGGATAATGTTTAAGGTTCAGGAAACTTAATAGGATATACATGTCCATGATGTTGTACATCATTCCATTTATCGTTCTTCCCTCATCATATCATTTCAATAACCGTTTATCCAATGCAGCGATCGGCTGGTTGGATTTTTACCATTACATCTAGCAGGAAAAAGCTTCACTGCAATGTATGTTGACTTTCTGGTGTTTTCCAAGTCGTTTTTTTCTGACAAACTTTAAAATTGTTCGTCATTTATCACGACATACCTTCTGCCGACTGCCATCTTGTAAATACATGTCAAAGGCACGCGCTGTTCTGACGTCACGGAGAGTCCCTTTGTACTATATTTCGGTACGAAATGATGTTGTAAGGTTTTTATATCCGTCTGGAACGCTATTATGACGTCACAGAAAGTTTCTCATTGCTATATTAAGGTACGAGCTAGTATTGTTGAATTGATCAAAGTTTATATAACATGTGAACAGTGAGGAAATATTTACAATCGGCCAATCAGAAAACATGATGAAAACACAGTCATATAGTAACAATTGTATTCAGCAGGATATTCTAAAAATGTTTTGTGGGTCTCATTTTCTGATGGACGAAAGATTTTTTGTGTGTGCAAAAATTAATGATGTAATAATTTAATAACATACTGTTTGACAACCTACAAGTCTCATTCTGAATGGTTGTTCAAAGAAATTCAACCGTTCTGCAGGTATCTGGTACATTAAAACCATAATGTTTGCTCAACAAAATTCGACCGTTCTGCAGCAATGTAGTACATTACAATCGTAGTGTATGCCGACAATTGCATCTCACCGACGCTTTTAGCTAAAATTCGCTTTATTTGTTTTGAGAAATAGAACGAATCGTAATGATTGGTAGGTACAGGCCGAATACAATCATGCAAATATCATCAATATTATCATGATGTTTTCACGAGAAGACGGCGTCCAATGTATGGATTACAGAGAAACCGTCCTCGCTAGGGATCATGAGCTTCTGTAAATTGATGTGTTATGTTTGTTCAGTATCGTTATGGATGAACACACCTTGTAATGTCTTTGAACATTGTCCATAATTTCACAGAGTCGTGAACAGAAGCCAAATGATATCTTTCATCTTGACCATCTTTCCAGGTAACAGTGTTTGCTAGTTACTTTACCTCTTGGTCACCTTATTGTATACCTTAAACCTTGTTCTCATTCGGGAACGTGACATTACCTCAGATTGATAAAGAATAACATGAGGGATGCCTTTGACGAAGCAGAAGACGCTTTCTCTGCCGGCATGTTTAGTCATGTTCTCCTTGTACTTTCTAAGAGTTTCCTGTTAAATTTCGTCCGTTATTTTTTTCCATATTCGGTTAACATATCCCTATTTTCTTTGCGTAAGAAATATACAGTTTGTTAAGAATAAGGACTTACCTTGTCCGTCATTTTCCAGAATCTGTACCATTAACATATTTATTGACCCAATAAAATAGTAGAACCGCAATAATAGTACGCTCATCCACAGCACGTGAAGGACGTAAAGACGGGAGCAGATAACAGATCTGACGGAGCCGGATGTGACGTCATCAGAAGAAACAGAAGAAGTGGTTACATCGTTTTCCATTTCTGTTTTGCCAAAAAAAAAAAAAAAAAAAATTCCATATGTATGCATACAAGAAGCTGATGCAAAGCATCACAACAATAAAAAAAACTTATTATTACTTAAAACGTATATTTAAAAAAATATTTCCAACATTTTCTGTTATATCTTATTACAAAACGACATACAACATATACCAATTAGATCTAAACATTGCTGTCGATAGATATGCTCTGATGTTTAGAGAATGCAATTAATCATTCAGCTGAATATGACTCTTTTGATACACATCATTTTCAGTGAAATTTGCCATGCACGTAAACAAATAAACGTTATTTTATGAAATACAATTACTAAATCATCAAATACAAAATATATACGTCCCCTTTGACATTTAACACATTGCTGTCAACAATATAAGATTTTAGTTCGAGCATAATTTTGTGCTTTTCTTTCTTTCTTCTAAATGTTTTCTGTCCTCAAAAAACAAGGCCTAAAGGAACAAGTGAACAGAAGATAGTACAAAACCCACAAGTGAATAACACTTTCTGATACAAATTACATCGTAGATACAGTAGAACCAAACAATGACTTAAACAGCGTTCGTCCTTCTAGGGTCCATCAGTGATGCCAAAGACTTATTTTTAAACCGTGGGAGGCATGTATGGAAAGTCCAAAGCGGTTGAATGAAAAATCAAAATCTAGATCGGGGTGTGCAATAGACTAAAATACTAGAAATTGTGTTACTATCATATATATGATATTTGTAGGAGAGCATCAATACTTGTGTATATTCTGAACCGTGCTACTATTCGCCTGAATTTAAACGCAGAAGGGATGTTACGGTTAACCTCGGGGACTAAAAGTCCACCAGCAGCGTCTACCACCTGCAACCTTGAATATTGCACAAAAGAGACAGAACCTTTTTAATACAAATTAGTAATAAAAGATCTCAAACCAATTACCCTTGCTCGTAGCTGCTTCCTGAGGTTGACCTTTCAAGTTGTTTTCGTCATTTTTAAAAGCTGCATTAACGCTTCCCTCTGGAAGTCTTGCGGTGTTTTCCACGGTGTCCACGTCATCACAGGCATTTGCAGAGTCAGCTGCTTTTTTCTTTGAGCCAGGATGGAGAATAGTACAAAAACCGGATATGACGACACATAAAACGGCTACACTAATATATGAGTACATGCGACTGATTCCGTTTTCGTAGAGGGCCTGTATGAATCAAGAAAAAGACAATGTTTCTATAAAATCGACGACGCTTTAAGAGCGTTATTTCAATATCTTCATTTCATTATAGACAAGCTACAAGCGTTACCTTGACAACCATCTGTGTCACAACAGAAGAGTCGAAACAGCCATTGAGGAGACCGACGTACACAGAGGAACCTTTCGGTACCAGGACTGCCACCTGGCGATGAAAGACTTGTAAATATACATTCAATGATAAAATAGAAAAAAAAAACCACCGTTAAAAGTTTTATATATCTGATATGAAATAGAAAACAGATATAAACTCAATTTACAACAACTTTAGCAAATATTCGTGAGAACAACGATTTATATAACTGATATCAACTCTAAATTTGCGATATTCTCAATAGTACTCATTGACGTCACAATTGCTGATGATGCAATGGAGTTATGTGTCACAACTTAAACCTTCAACAAATAACAGCTCCACTAGGTCATGATACGCATGTGTAATTACGAAAATTATGTTACGGATGTTATTGATCTGATAAAAGGAATACAAGTATAAAAATGCAGGATTTCAAGGAGCCAACATTTTATATACCCACACTATTTGTTCACACTGGATAGACTAAAACAATAGATTCGAAGGGACTTACCTGCATGTTGGAAATTATCAGTGAGATTCCTGCCACGCCTACAAACACTATTCCGGGTAACACTAGCCACGGGAACTCTGAAAAATACACCAAAGCCAATCATGACTAGTAATGCTATTCACTATTGTATCCGTCTTGCAGTTATCAAAAACATGCTTTTTGTCCTTCGTCATATATAGAGGATATCTGATGGTGTTTCGTTTAATATCATATATACTCAACAAAAAAAGAAAGGTTAACATGTTTCCTTGGCGAATACCTGTAAATGAGTGAAAACAAGATGACGTTTGTGCAATATTAGAAAATGGTAATGTTTTACATTACAAAATCCAAGGGCGTTACCAAAATCATTGTATCTTCGCTTGAATTTTATAAACATTCAAACTGACAACTGTTCCTTAGATTCTTAGGACTTAGAAATCACCGAATCTTGCTATCAATCAACTTTATCATTATGCCCCGGCTGTCACAAGTACAGAGAGAAAGGGCTGTAGGCATGATCCAGGCTGGGGAGTCTCGCCGTCGAGTTGCACGGCATTTTGGTTGCAGTGTTAAGACAATTTGCAAGTTGGTAAGTCGTTTAAACCAAACTGGGTCAACATCCGATCGTCCCCGAAGCGACCGACCCCGTAAAACGACCGCCGGGGATGACCGTCGTATACGATTGATACACTTGCGCAATCGATTCGTAACCGCAGTAGAGACTACAAGGACATTGTTTGGGCGTCGTGTGTCTCCCCAAACAGTCCGCAACAGGTTGAGGGCCTACCAATTGAAAGCGCGGCGTCCCTACACTGGACCCAATTTGTTGCGACGTCACCGTAACAATCGGCGTAACTGGACCCGTGTTCACCGTCGTTGGGCCTTACGACAATGGAACAATGTTCTGTTTTCAGATGAGTCCAGGTTTTGTCTGCAACGCGGTGACGGAAGGCGCAGAGTGTGGAGGCGACGAGGGAAGAGTTTTCCGAACTGCTGCGTTGCAGAACGGGACCGCTTTGGCGGCGGAAGTGCAATGGTTTGGGGTGGTATTTGTAGGGGACTCGTACCAGGCTTGTTGTGTTAAATGGCAATTTAACCGGCATTCGATATCGGGACGAAATTTTAAGACCAGTGGTTCTGCCATTCTTAAGACGCCATGGCGTTGGCGCCATGTTTCAACTGGATAACGCACCAGCGCACACAAGTCGCGTCAGCAGAACTTTCTTGCAGCAGAATAACGTACAGGTGTTAGATTGGCAATCTAAATCACCTGATTTGTCACCGATTGAGCATGTCTGGGACGTTCTTGGGCGACGCGTGAGAGAACGCCAAAATCAGCCGTAAAACTTGCAGGAGCTGGCCCAAGCCTTGATCGCTGAATGGAACAACATCTCTCCTCGAATTATCCGCCGGTTTACGAGTTCCATGCGACGACGCTGCAATGCTGTTTACTTTGCAAACGTTGGCCATACCCGTTACTAATGGTGTTACCTTTGAAATTGACCCCAAAGTCCTTTACAGTCGAATAAAATCAACTGAACGCAAAGTTTTATAATGAACCATGACTGCAGTTTTATCAGAATTGATCAATTACTTTATTCGTACATGATTGGTAAGGATTTATGAAGGGGTTAATTTATTAATCACAGAATAAAGTAGTGTTACCTTTCTTTTTTTTGTTTAGTACATATATGTCCGCACGTCGTGGAAAGGAACGGGAAGACAGACAGATAGACAGAGGATTTAGGGATTATCGATTGCTTCATGTCCATATATCAACGTATTTTAACAAGAATTGTATTACCAGCTCTACAGTAAGGTGATGTGAAATGTGATTTATTTTCTGAAAAAAATCAAAAAGAGCATATGATATTGATAAATAAAGATTTCATAGGAAAATCCATTATTATTTAGTGAACAGTGGCTCATTGTAAGTAGTCAAGGAATAATTGTGCCGTTTCCCATGACCATAAATTTTGTTATTAGAAATTTCATCTGATAATATTTTACGGAAAAATCTGCCAAAAATGTCATATGAAATTTCACCTAGCTAAATATATTTGTAAAACAAGTATTTGATATCATATTCGGATCGGTTCATCATTTTATCTCGGGACTTAAATTAAGAGATTGTAACGACCAAATACAGAATGCGACAATATTTTTTTTTGTTTCTGAAACATACCTGGAGATGTGAAACCGAAACATAGCACCCCAGCAACTAGGACGAATCTGAAATAAATTACGAAATTATTCGCTACAATGAATTTAGTGTTTGTATTTGTAACATTAAAGATATATATATGGAGATGAAATGCGCATTTGAATTTTCATATAATGTATACTCGAAGTCTGTATAAAGAGACAAAGGAGTGTGCATGAATATTAAAGCAGAAAAGGAAAACAAAATATTCATTGATAAGTATATAGAGTGGTGTAGCTGTGAACGCATTAGGAAAACATCCAAACATGTCATTGAATAATGTGTGGACTACAATGACGTAAGATATACATATCGACAGATTTAAAGCAGAACATACCCTCAAACGAATAGCATGTCAGGTAAACAATATTACATCAATCCAAGCACAGATAAATTATACATACAATGTATACACGCACAAGGTCTTTAGAGCATAGATCAACATTACAGAAGTGTGTGAATTTAATATTATCCAGGTCAGGAATATACATTTCAGTGACTTTCTTTCCTTACAAAAAGAATGTAGAAAAATAAAAATATACTTTTCATTAGATTCATAATGGCGATAAGAATATATAAAGAGGGAAAGAAGTCAAAAGATCTTAGGACATGGTCTTCAGATTAACATCCAATATCATTTCACATATATGAACTTATGGATTTATTAGAACATATTTTGTTTAACGTCCTATCAACAGCTATGGTCAAGTGTCGCAACATTTTATGATCAGTAGATATTCAAGTTAGTGATCATCAAGAAATGATGGAAAACATTAAGTTTCCTCGTATAATATGGATAAAGCACCAGACAGTCACCATTGATAGGCTGAGGTGGAATAGATGGTTAGTCCTTGTCATCTATAATCAAACCCTTGTTACGAATTATCAGAGAAAACCGGTGATGGAATAGCTAGAGAACATTTTGAGATATCAAATGTATCCACAAGAAGTCCCTAAAAATCTTAATGCTGGGATCACTTCTACAGGATTCCGTCAAGTTAGTATGTTGTTGCCATACGACAAACCTGGTTTCTCTAAGGCACATTAAGTAACTGGCAACGGGACATTCACTCCTGATTGCCATCCAGGGATCAACTATAGGTATAGATACTACTCATATGTTCCCACTGGCAACTCATAGAAAGTTATTGACATTTAATACATGTATTCGTTACTTTTTCCTGTGAGGTATTGCTTGACCAAGACTGACATCAAAAATTTAGAAATTGCTGAGAATGAGCATTTCTTGAATTTTTCCCAATTCAAGGGCCATGACTCTCTAAACAAGGCAGACTTCAGCACCTTGTATCAGAGGACGCAAATTTCATTAGTGTTGTGTGCAGATATGCAGCCATAGACAAGATGTTTTGCAAAACCAAAATAAATTCCTTAATTAATTATTTTACCGCTGTTTAAATTTGAAAGCCGGACTAATCCAAAATCAATCGTAGGATGAAACTGCTTGCAAAAAAGTAAACAGAATCCATAATGAAAAGAACATGGAAGGAAATTGGGGATATATTTGCACAATCTGTGGCAAATTTAATATAACATTTGATGATCGACCTGAAAAAAATGTCCATGGGGAAGAATATTAGATTAAGTAAACAAATGATGAGACTACAGTACAGGCGTTAGTATAACTTCAGATCAAAACAAACACAAAACAGTTCGTAAAGTAAACGCACTTTTAGTCATACAATGTACGTTTTCCTGTGAAAATTTCTTGAGATTCATAGTGGAGTTGAGCATGTCATTCCGTTTTTGCTTATACCTTCTTTTTTGTAAAATGTATTTAAATTCACAGTCTGAAAATAAGAGGAACATCCGATTTTCGCCTGCATCATATCCTGTCTCAGTACCAATTAAGTTAATTACATCTGCTTGTGAAAGAGAAAATAAAAGTGGAAAAAAGCCATGACGGACAATGGCAACATTACATGCACCGGTAGTGGCCAGAAGCCAAAGTAATTCTGAACCCAACCGTCAATTGACGCAGACGTCTCGATTTTTCACCTTTACAAAATGATTATGCTGGATGTTAATTTAACCCTCTGAAATATCTATACTAGAAAGATCAGCTATGATTTAAAAAGTAACAAATTCTCCCGTCCCTGTGCAGTTAACAAAACACAATGATAAGGTCATTGATCTTGTTTCAGATTATCTTCTTGTTGTAGGTTTTAGTGATTATTTAAACATTTATTTACAGCTGTTATTTATGTTTTATTTATTTATTTATTTATTTTTTGCTGTTTGTTGGTGTGTATCTTTTTTTATTTATTTAATCAGATACTTAACGTTTTGACTTTTTTATTTACTATACATAGATAAACAATAATCGTTTTAAGTACTAAAGGAACAGCCCAATAATGAATGGAATGGCAAAATATTTTATTACAATTTGGCGGGAAAGGTTCTAAACTACATGAAGTTAACTGAAAATACTTAACAATGACATCTTCGTTTCATTACATTTTTTTGAGATATTTCAAATATATTCATATCAATTTACATATTGTTTTGAGCTTTGAGTTTTTACAAAACAAACTCGCGAAAGAAAACAAAAAAAAAAGCAAACGAAAAAGTGGATTGACAAATTTTCTACAACTGTAAAATGGTCTTGCTGCAACGCAGCATGTAACTGCGGAAACAACCCTGGCGTTGTGATGTCTGCCCTCAAGAAGAGATTTTTCCTTGCGAATTTTGTAGAAGACCTTCGACAGAGTTTGTTTAATTCTTATACGTCGATGGTGGTCAAATTCAACTCTTTTCCGAACAACACTTCTACAAATCATTTGAAATAAGAATGTCGTACTGTGGAGTCGATTCTATGAGAAAATGTCAATGGGATATTGATCGGAAAAAGTCATGAATACTTGTAGGTACATGTAGGCTGGATGTGTAGTGATATAATTCGTGAATTGATGAAATGAGCATAGAATGATTGTAATGTGAATAAGTTTTTCCTTTAATTTCGTTAACATTGTAAATTGTTACAATATTGAACACGAAATGAAACAAACCCCTTGGGTCAGATTACCTAAAAAGGCTAAAAGAATTTAATTGTTGTAACGTTATTACGAAAAAGGCGATTATTTGGTCACAGACTGGGAACTCAGTAAAAATTGTAAAACACAATTGTTTTGTCTCATCAGACTCTTCGGGTCAAAGGTAAAGGAATCAAGAAAGGAACAGAGAAAATTGATCAATATAACATAAAGATAAAAATGGCATGTAAATTTCGTTATTGGATTGTTATATTCTAAAATATTACCTATTCATTTAAATTTGGAAAAAAAATCTGATACCATTCCACTAACAATTTCAATATCGTTTGTAGGTTTACGGAAAACATATATGTAAGAACATAGTCATACTTACATGCTATAGATACGAATGGTGCGGGTAGAGTTGACAAATCTGGTGTACAACTGACCACAAACTAATCCGGAAATAGTAAAAACAGCCATGCCAACACCGAATAACAAATTAAACATGTCGTCTTGTGCTACACACATTTCACTGGAGTCTAAAGTTGTATTTTTGTTAGTAACAACACATAGGTTTTTGAATACTTCTTCTTTCTTGAAAATATAGAGAAGGGAAGCCCAGCCATATTGTAATCCCCCGTACAGGAAGATTTCCAGAAAACTAACTATAACAAGAGTTGCCAGCCAGATGTTGCCGAAATGCATTTCATTCACTTAACGTTGGCACACGGCTCACGTTTAAATAGACGAAGCTGCGTATTGGACTTAGAAAAATGCAGTGAGAGCTATGAACTGGAACATAATATTTAATGTATCATGACATTACGTAACAAATATAGACGTTTTGACTTTTTACTGATCTACGATCTCTCATGTGATATTCATTACATCCTCGACTATTTGCTGCGTCAACAGAATTGCCCATCCCTTACTAAACATAAACTGTGTGTCTCCTTTTTGCATGCATTCTCTTATTCTCGCATTAATTTTCTCTATCTAAACGTTGTATGTTCCCTCTTTCCCAGTTGTGTGTTCTCCTTGTTAAAAATTGTATCCTCTCTCCCCCACAGTGTTGTGGTGGCCTCTGTCATCAAACATAATGTATTCTAGCAATACCGGTCGTAATCTATTACTCTATCATCTTCTCCTCTCTACGTTATGATCGTTTCCTCTTCTGTCAACGTCTTTCCTCTTCTCAAAAATATACTTTTCACATCAGTTTGCAAAGGCTCTGCACTTCTCACCATACTTTTTACTGTGACTTTTTAAAAATTCGTTGTGGAGTTGGACAATACTTTTCATATTTGCTTATACCTTTATTTGTACAAAATAACTATATTTTCAAAGTGAAATGGCAAAAGGGTTAAATAATGTACATCATCAGAATTTGACCTGCATCTTATAGCTTTACATCTACCTAGCAAATAAATCTAGTATCTATGCTGGTGAAATAGAAAAAAGTTGAAACGAAATCATGATGGATTGGCAGTCAATGGCAATGGAAGATGTCCTGACCATCTTATGGTGATAATGGGGTGGGGGAAGAGGGAGAACATGCCAGGAGTGAACAGCAATCGCCCTGCCAAAGATATTTTGAACTCAACCTACATGCATAGACGTCTCGTCGCTATTACCTTTACAAAATAGTTATGCTGAATATTAATTTAACCCTCTATAATGTCTTTCCTAGAAAGGTTAGTAATAATTCCTATTATAACAAACTCTCCCACCCCTGTGCAGTTAATTCTCGCAATCGAAATAACAGCGATGACCGAGATCTCTGAACTTGTTTGCAAGTCAATTTTTTGGTTGTAGTCTTTCAGTGGCTTTATAAACATTTTTTTTTTTTGCACAGCGTTAATTTGCAGTAATATTCGATTTCTTAATCGTCATTTGCAAGGCTCTTTTTTATCAAACTATGTTCTTAATATACACATATATCAATATATTCTTTATTAACATATACATAAATACATTTCTTATTTAGACATATATGAATATGTTCTTTATATACACACATATAAATATATTCTTTA